TCGAGGAGAACAATGCAAACAACATAACTTTTATCTACGTGTTCTTCTGGTGAAAATCGGAAATGAGAACTGAATGTTTTCTGATATAATTATAAGGGAAGGTGAGTATGAAGTGAACAAGTATTGGCTTTTCGAAGGTCATGTTTTATTTCTTTCATACTAACTCTTGTAATAAACACGGTGGGAGATGTGTCGATCACCAGACATTTCAGAGTAGATGTGATGGTTATATATGTCGCCATGTCCTTCGCTTTCCATCGCCACCAAAAAATCTCTTATTGAAACTACACACACTATGCATTATTTCATGGGATCGCACTCAGAAAGTTTTGGCGTTGTATCATCTTGGGAATGTTCCCGAAATTATCTGTAAAACCGAATGACAACCAGAGGAAGTCTGATACACTCATCCATTGATTTTCTGTTCCCCTGCTAACATCTTTCGTCTGGTTATAAAAGTCTTCTTTCCACTGCATTGAATATTGCGTCAGCAATAACAATATGATCGAAATACAGAATTCACAAATGTTTAAAACAAGGAAAAAAGAAAAGAACACATTTGTCTTTTGCTCCACGAAGGTTTCAAATCCCCAATTTAATTTCACAACATAATTTTCAGGTTGTGGAATTTCCTCCAAATGTTCTTATTATTTGCTGGTGTCTGTACTGTGGCAGTATTTTCTCTCGATTGAGAATATGAAGGCGTTTTAAATCCTGCTCTGCTATTCAGACAACCTTTCAGATATTAGCGATTTGTTCCCGGATACTGTCGAGAGAACATTATTATTATTGAAACAGACACAATGTACAACGGGAAAGGGTTCATAGAGATTTAGGATCTTTCTTTTCATGTGAGATTTCAGGAAACGAGTCTTAATGGGTTTTTTTTGAGAGAGAGAGCCTTGGTGAACAAATAAAAAACTTCGAGATGCGTTTTACAAAATTCCATATGAAATAAAACTAGGTTTAGATTCTGTTATCACATAACTTAGAAGAGTTTCATGTTGACGGGCTTTAAGATATAAAAAATGCGGAGGACAAAATCAAACGTGAGCTTTCTTATTGTTTTGCCATTTTCAATTCATAGTGTAACGTCTTTATTATGACATCACAATCGATTTCTGACTACCGCAACCTTGATCAAGCACTCCATATCATATTACCAGTGACATATACACAAAAATATTTTATGGTCGAATGCATTTGATAACTGACGGATTATATGATCGATAACAACAAGATAATTCCTCCTTTTAAACAGAACCATAATCCAAACCCGAACTCAATACATCTCGGGAAAATATAATAATCGTTTCTAGCTCTGCTATGAAACTTTATGACAAAGAACCATGATTATTGTTGGTGAAAGTTTCGTGTCCTCAGTTACTGAAGTAAACAACTGAACAAAATGGGACATTTTCTGTCATGGCGGAATTTTCTACCTAAAACGTCTCGAATAAATAATTACATATGTATCATAGTGTTTAATATTTTATTTTCATTTCTGTATATCCCTGCCGATTTAGTTTTCTTAAAAGTACCGCAATACTTTTGTAACGTTTATGAATTGCAATCGGATAAATCTATGTGTGTATTTTAATGCGCCCCTGCTCAAAGATCAATCAAATTAACTGGTAAATGTAGCATCGATATTATACATAAAGTATCCGCTAGCACAAACTCAAGCTTGCTCACCTGAAATGGCAGACATGTGTTTCGGTCTTTACTTTCGTTCCCCGGTGACATTACTAAATATCAGATACGCTTGAGTTATCTTACATTGGTTCAGAAGTGTACACGTATTACATAAAGCTATCATTATGATCATTTAGGACGGGAATGACATTTCAATGTACCATTTTACGTAATAAAAATTGTGTTGTGAAAATGATAGTTATTTGTGTGTGTGTTGTGTGTATCTTTTAATAAGGTTTGGCTTAAGTTTTTCTTGTCTGTATTTTTCAATATATGCCATAGTGTAAAATTTTAGCGTTTTGAGTCCCTTTGATAAATGTGTTAACATGGCATGATGAATTGATGTTTTTTTTTTACCACATTTACGACGGTGTTTAAATGTTTATCTACGTATAGAGAAAGTACACAATGAAACATGTACTATTTGATATTGTAAGGTTAATGATTCTTGTCAGTTTTGTTTTTCTTTCCCTAAGAGTTACGTGTGACGGCTACGAAAACCAAAATCATACGGGTGCGAGGTCAACCAACATATTGTGATCAGGAACCGAGGACTAGATGGTACTTACCTAACAGATATGTTTTGAGAGCTTTTTCTCTTATGTGTCTTCTGTAAAGTCCTTGTCAAAAGCGTATTATCAATGAATTTCTAACAAATTAGTTCAACATGATATGAATGTTTACAATATCACAGCTCAATTTCAAAGTCGACAAAACATTTGTTACGGATGTTGAGAATAAAGTCAAGTGTTTGATTATCGACTAGACTTGTCTGTTTTGTATCTTGGTCAATACGGGTAAGTGATATCACGTTCGCAAATAGGAGCCATATCTACAACAACAAAATCGCCAAGCATACCAACGAGCTTTAGATACATATGTCTTTGAATTCTTCAGAAGGAAATAAAAAAAATGGCTCAAAGAGACCATGATGGTGACTTATAAACTTCTCCATAACATTCATCTTCCTTTATCTCTCCAGCACATGGTGGTGTAAAGCTCTATCTGTCGACTGTTGATATCCCTCATGCGGTCCCTCCTGTAGCATTATAGGCAACGATCGAGGTAAATGGTAGATGTGCTTGTATCATCATGACCAACTCTGGTAGATATACATGTCAGTGCTGATAAATTACTTTCTTGTCATTTAAAAACAAGACATTGTTATAGGCAACAGTCAGCCTTGTATAAAAATAAAAACAAGTTATCCAAGAACTGGACACAATCAGTTCCCATGGGTATATGTCAATGGTCTGTTGGAAAGATCCTAGCAGCAAACTCAACAATGCACGTTTATTCTCACGATTTTATCAACGCCGGTCACCTTCTGTGAAAAGAAGCTCTCCTAACCGGAGAATGAAGGCACTCATTCACTTGGGAACGCCTGACTGACATCAAGACATTTTCAAAAAATGAGCTCGGGAAAGTCATGTCTACCTAGGGACTTACCAAATCATAAATTCGATTATTACAGACGTTGCACACTGAGTGTAAACAACTGAGAGACCAATTCCCAACATAGGGTTTCGAGAGATGCAGTTTGATAAAAGTTTTACGGTTGTCATGGTGAACTCATTGAGACTTACTTTATATGAAGCTGTTAGTTTGCCTGCTGGTTCAGTTGTTGTATATCTTACCCTCATCCGGGAACGTGACAATACTAACTTGATTTACTTGCTAGGTGCCGTCGACGAAGCAGAAGACGCTTTTTCTTCTGGAACTCCTGGGCTTTAATTTTTACAGGAGTCTCCGAGTAAATCTTTCTTTTGTTCGTATTTTGCCTTTGTCTTATTGAATTTGAGTTTGGATTTTATGCTGTTTCTGTAATTTGACAGTTTGCATTCATGAGGCAAATGTGAATTAATGCATGACAACAACGACTCCCACGAATAACAGCATCACCGTTGACCACAAAAACTGTAAAAAATATGGACTTAAGGGAAAGAAAGTTCATGATAATATGAATTTATTTATAATTCCTGTATAATCTAATTATCTACTTTGAATCGTCAACGCATGCATGATTTTATCATATTTCAGATTTTAGATTCATACAAAAGGTTACAGTGAGCAGTCAGCGACCATGGTCTGCAAACAGTAGTAAAAGTAAGAAAATATTTTAATTGTATTTCCTCTGATGGCGCATGATTTGCATTGTAATTTACAATTGACAAAAGCTTGCACAATTTTCGATCAACGTTGTTTTTAAAGAAATAGCTAGGTTATAAAATACTTGATCATATTGATTCATTTTATTGCATATGCAAATTTCGAAATCCGTTTCGTCTTCTTCACTTATTTATATTTCTGTGAATACTAGTACAACATAAAAGACAACGGAGTTGAACAAATCATTTTACGTATTCGTGTTTCCATTTAATCCACTGAAATACGGATAGCTTTAAGATTACCGCCGTTGTTAACCGTTGTTCATCGCACATATCTGAATAATCTTAGTTGCTGTACAAGTTATGAGAAAATTATCATTTTATATTCGTTTATATCAATCCTCAATGATGACTACAACGCGATTATATCAGTATCTTATTGAAAGTTCTAAAATAAAAAGCTTTCAACTAATTGAATCCGACGATCTCATTGAACCATTTTACTTAACTTTGTCAAAAACGACAAATGAAAACTTTGCATGCCATTTATGTAGAAACTGAACATAGCTTGCGAGTAGATCAATCACACAGAACTGCTAACTGGCATTTATTTGCATGTCAAATGCATTGCCTGAAATGTAACGAAGAGAGGACAACCAAATATGTATCAGTCATGAACATAAATATGTGACGAAGAGCTTTAACGCGTGAGAACTAAGTAAGTCCAAACACGTAAAAACATATTTACATTTTTTAAATCCCCATCATTCAACCACTGCACACAGAACGTTAAACACTCCATATATGGTCACGTCTGACTCACAAAAACTGTTTACAGCAGGTGAAACACTTAAATGTAAATATATGATTATTCTAGAGAAATGACCAACACAAAAATAACAAGAATATACACAGTGTGTCCCTCCCACTGAGTCCGCAGGCCAGGGAGTTGGTCACTACGGTGAAAGTATGTGTATGATTAAACCCTCTGATCAATGACATGAATGGTCGCTTGTGACATTCCAAATGCAGACAACCGCAACTTAAGCGACATAGTAGTAATGTTGTTGTGTGCAAACTACCGTGTCGTCTGCTCAGAAGTGGTGAGTAGTACACCTCACTGATAGACAGACGACAGTCAGTGTATATCTACGAGGTAGGGAGTTTGCCAGGGATTCAGAAAGCCCCGGAGAATTATGTGCTGACCTGTTCGGTAATTAATTACAGTACTATAATCCAACAGCTGAATAAGCACTAGCTTCACCGTTTGATGTGATGTTTTGCGGGTTTGGAGTGTGAATCACGTGATATTTACAACCAATCCTGATACATTTGATAAATTACTCTCTGTATCCAGCATAATATATATTGGGAGGATTCAGGTGGTACGGTCACTCTATTTCGGTCCTCCAACTGAAAGCTTGGCAGTGTAAGTTCATATTTGGCTTCTTGCTAAATTTGGGAGTGCGGAGCTTCTTAATATATATATAAAGGGAGTGTGTGCTAGGTCGCCGGTGGACTACACAGCTGATCCTGTCTGTGTATGGTAGCGTGCAGTGCTAACCTTACACTGTCGATTTTCGTCTGCAAATATTAGTGATACCTTTTTACTGGTATAGTGCTTGTGTTAGAATTGTCACATAATTTTATCTTTTGGGAAATTATTTACAGGTGATGTAAAATCTACATTGAGACACTGTTGAATTTGTGGTCGTTGACAGATTGTTAACGATGCAGTTGTCACTAGAACTGAATTGTTGTGGAACTACTTGTGTTAATATTCTTGTCGTTTTGAATGTTATTTACGATAATGTGGTATTTTATTATTCATTTTCTCGTTGTAAAATCGTATAACAGGATTGTCAGTGCACCTCTTTAACTCGTTCATGAAGTGTTAAAATGTTAACATCATTGTGAATACATTATAGCCCACGCTTGTTGCATTCTTACATTTTTATTGCTTTTTAAAAAGATGATATATCAAGATAATTTTCACGCAACAAGTTGGACAACAGATTTCGTTTTGTCGGTGTGACGGTAATACTTTTTACCCCAATAGGTTCTCTACATAATCCTTTCTTCTATTGGATAGCTCGAATTTGTTTATGTCTTTTGATATTTTAGAAATTTAGCAACAATAATTGAGGAATGTGTCTTTTTTTCTATTTTATACAGGCTTTCTGACAAGGCAAGATGTCAAAATCAAGAGAAACCGTTACCGAGAAACGGACGGTAATAACGTCCTCCTCTTCCTCCAACTATGACGACTCCGGAGATGCTACCACCAGTAGTTTCAAGTCAACCATCTCCCCAAGGAACACAGTGCTGGCTCGCTCCCCTGGACTACCCGGACTTAGGACTTCAGGAATCAGTGGAGACTCAGGAACTGTCATCACCCGTACAGTCGAGTACGGGTACGGCAACAAACACATGGGAGGATTGCCATCTGGTGCATATGAACAGCGCACAAACACTGGTGTGAACGAGATGAAGCACAATCGTGAAAAGGAAAAGAAAGACATGCAAGATTTGAATGAAAGGTTTGCTAGCTATATAGAAAAAGTGAGATTTCTCGAAGCCCAAAACCGTAAACTAGGATCAGAATTAGAGCATTTAAAATCAAAATGGGGAAAGGAGACAAGTCAGGTGAAACAAATGTACGAGACCGAGCTCGCTGAAGCAAGGAAACTAATTGATGACCTTACAAGAGAAAAAGCCAATCTAGAGATCAAGAACAATAGCCTACAGGAACAGATGTCCGACATGCAAAGACAGTAAGTATAGCATGCCATTAATTATTATCTTTTACAAGCATTCAAATCCATTATCCGAGATGAATTATGTTGTGTTATCTGTACTTTTACTTTCGGTTTCATTTTAAACATATGAACCAATACATTAGTGTAATTAGGTCCCCGTGTTTAGACATATTACACGATCTGTTTAACTGTGCTTTTGCTGTATTTTCCGTTGGTATCTTCTTCTTTAATTAATCACGTTTCGATTGCTGGTAGAAACTAATTCACTAAACACTGATCAGAGCTGTGAATAGGCAATACACTATCAGTATTCAGTAAGACAATGTTTTAGGAGCAACTTGACCTACCTGTCATCTTGTTGTCTTATTTAATCGTGATTGATACAAGCTTCGATAGATGATTACTTGCTCTAACAAACACGGACTATTGATAATGTTAACATGCTATCCTAGGGTGTTGAAACTCGTTTAACGGTTAAATATCCGTCAATATCTAGATCATAATCACCGATTTCTTGATAGCATAGTGTAGAAGCATTTTATTTATTATCGTATTTTTTTAGTGTGCGTGCTATTGCTCATTGGCTGAGAAGCTTTTAATTGATTGGTATCGTTTGAATACATCAGTTAAACATGTAGCTCTTTGTGAAACTTAAAACTTTTGATAACAATTAGGCGTTACCTTTTTAAATGCATCGGTGTAACGTAGAATAGTAAAATATTATTCCATTGATATTCATGTTTCCTGTTGTACGAGCTAATCATCTAGAAGAGATTTAACAGTATGCTTTCTGATCAAACTCGTGGCCCGTGCCTTGTAAGAGGATAATGTCCCTGATTAAGTACACAGCTAATGGCTAGAGAATCACAATACTATATATTACATTCCGTTTAGTTGCCTTATTTCTGATGCAAGTATAAGCGATTAACAGAATGATACGTAAAGACCTTAATTGACTTTAAAATTATCCGTATTTCCTTAGTCAAATATTTCTAGAGCTACATAAAATAACTCTACCTGTATGTGTCTTACTGTATATATTGTCTATAGAGATCGACTGCCTATAAAGAATTTTTATCCACGCCTCGCTGATAGCTCCACATGTATGATTATTCAAACTGTTACTGCGTTTATCTGATAGCATCTACTTGTCGACACCATATTCTGACATCCACATGTGAGATATCGCTTCCTTGTTGACTTAAGCTGTAGCTAATTAAACATAAACTTCATTTGCTGTTATTGATTCGGATGGGTGTATATTTACTAACGCAAAAGGTGTTTAATAGCTAACTGCACCTTTTATATATCAAGTTACTTATCTTTCGTGTACATCACAACAAATAAACAGTTTTCACCACTCAGCTTAAATACGCGTCATATCCTCGTGCACCTGTTAACTTCCGATGCATTTCAAATTAAAACGTCTATTAAATGAAACACAATGTCTACTTCGAAGTTTATGCGGGGGTGTTGTAAGTGGTTTATCCTACCTAGTAAAAGTATTATCTCATGATGATTAAAGTGTAGGAGTTTGTCGTTACCTTATGTATATGTATGTTAAATCACACCAACAGTGGTTAGAAGTGTGTATGCAGGTTTAGTAAGAAAATACCACTGTCGCCGAGTGCAGTGTTTACATACCGCGCTTAAAGATGATATTAACGACAATATTGCGATCTGATAAATTTATTTTTATCTTGAAAAGTTTGTGAGTTTTAACCAATCCTAACCTATATTATACACGGTTCGTGGTTTAATGTCTAACATAGTCCCAATGCTTTGTAACGCCACTAGTACAATGTTTTGTGCTGTGACGTCATCATTCATTGAGATTTACAGCATGCATTAAAAGATGCGTAAGGCATTCAGTTGTTAACGTGAGACGCATAGGTCCCCTAAAACGGTCAAATTTCAAATTCTGCCTTCCAACCGTAATAAAAAAATTCTGCTTGTCATTGAAAAGTATTTTTTTACATCTTGAATATCTCCTGTCCTATTCTTTCTGTGTATATCATTTTCAGTTTTTTAGAATTTCAACTGTAATATTAATTCACATTCCACCTAGCATTTTAAGTGTTTCACCATACCAGCACAAACCAAACGTCAAGAACAGAAATCTGACATAGATGTCTGCATTTCTGCATCTCTATATAGCTATGAAACTATCATACGTTTTAAACAATCGTTCATATCTCTTAATAAGATTTGCTTTTATCTTATAAGCGAGATAAACACACGTGCATCTCCTCACCTGCAGTATTCTGCACGTCAATATCTTACATGTGTCTCACGAATAGCAGTTATACATGTACCGAATAAAACTAATAGTCAGAGATACATATTAATGTGATTAATTTGCTTCCATAGGCCAAAACAAACAATTTGAAAATTTCTTCCAAAGTTTTGTCTCAATTCACGGAAATGACAAAATAATCAATGTACATTGTACTGTTACGAGGTGCTTTAAAACGAATTTTCACACAACATCAACTTTTCGTAGTTTGCTAGTACGGGTAGAAGATCTGCATTGCAGCAAAATGTGTGTACAGATACGGCCCAGACAGCAGTGTTTTATTGTCTATAATAGCAGCAGTCAGATCGATACATGATCTGCCTTGTTAGTTTTAACAACACTAATACTTTTACAATAAAAATAACAACGTTACTATCACGTTATTGATATCACAATTTTCGTAATATATTTTCTCAGCGATGATTTGTTGTAATCTAGATAGGACAAATATAAATGATTATCATAAGTATCTTTCTTAAATTACTTTTCGAAACACAAGCCAATTGAGAGCCAACCAATACAAATATATGCGGTTGACTTTAGATGGACAATAAAGTGTTATCTGTCTACCCAATAAACCATAGTATGTCGATAAAACAACACGATTCATGGCCCTAAAGTCAGTCTGACGTTTAATTTCTGTTCAGGTTTACCATCTTGTTATTTATTGATTTTACCTTCAAGTCTTGAGCGGATGTTACGAGGCCCCTTTGGGAAATACCGCTAATGGTTAGCAAGGGTGAAGCGGGAGGAGTTACGGGTAGTAGAAAGGCAACGGAAATAGAACATTGTTTTATAACTCATAGAATTTTCGTTCATCAATATCGGACCTCATGAACGTTCTTACTTAACAAAAAGCTTAAAACTTAATCAAACCAACCTTACAAGTTATAACATCAATTACAGTGGAAATATTTCATATCAGTTTTCAATTACGAATAATGAAGTTTTATTTTAGTCTGTAAAGCAGAAATTACCTTGAGTGTAGTTTTCGCTATTTGGGTTACATTGTGAGCATTTAGGACGCGCCCACCCATGTTTAATATGCTGTATGGATTTTATTCCTATAGTTTATATTGATGTAACTGCTGGTTTACCTGTGCTGGGCACACAATTATAAAGATATGTATTTGGTAAGCAAATCAAATTGTCACGAATGTAAAATAGCGGGGGAAGATTTCATATATATATTTTTTATTATTACCTAAATAAGACTATTTGAAATAAATAGCATTTTGTATTTAAAAAAATGTAAACTGAACGCATAGGTGCGTTCACGCATGTTAATTAGTATCTTACAGATGAATAAGATACCTTGTAAAACAGGTTTGGCTAGATTTACAATAACTATGGAAAGGTTACAGATGCGAAAACACTTGTTGCTGGCATGTTTATCGTCTATCAACCTGAAAATATATATTTTGAACAACAGTTATTAATATTTAATTACACAGTTATTAAAGTACATTTCATATTTCATCTAGTCAATTTCACTTAAGTTGACAAAACATCAAGTTATCAATATGAGCGATGGTTGAACGCCCCAGCTGTATTACTGCTACATTGACATACAGGGCTCTAGCAAACCTATATGAAAGTGATTCTCTAGAATTTACATACTGTTGCGATAACATGTAAATTTATTGAAGTGTGCTTACATTATGTATTTGCCACTTGTAGATACAAAGTTAGTCCATTGATTCATTCATTTCATCTTCTTTTCACTTTCTGCGATTCTGATAGATAATCTATTTTAGATAACATTAAAGGTAAACATTTTAGGTAAAACTTAAAAAATTGCGACTTTACTTGGAATCTTTATATAAGGTAAACTCATCTGATAAGGTCATATATATATATACATAGCACTGTTCATTCATGTGAAATCCGTTGATCATCGCTAACCTCCTACACATTCTAACCTGGCAAAAATCAATATGATACTAGACGTGTCGGCCAAAGTGTTGTAGACTGAATAGTGTGCAAAAATCGCACAGTCAGCAATTCCATCGAGATTAGTCCTTTCGCATTGTAAATACATCTCTTGGCAAAGATTTATCAAGTATCGAAATGATAAATCAATGAAGATGTTGCCACGCAAACGTGTTTGTAATTTAGGTGAACGAACAGTTAGAACAGCGTTCGATAACCTTTTAATACTCGCTTACTTCACATTAAGAGATGTTCTGATGTGCAACAAGTTGTTAACTTACATTTTAGCGTGTTCGCTGGATAAAGTCGTAGATTAATTGCAATAACTCAGTAAGGATGGAGGGGTAGGGACATGCGCGATATATGGGAATGATCGATGATATCAGAGGTTCGGGTCTGGACCTTGTCACGTGCTGATGAAGCTATGCTCAAGCTTGTCAGGTCAAAGGTCAGAACCGATGCGCAATCCTTCCAGATGTGTCCGTTTCTGACCTACGTTGACATCAAAGATTAGCTTCCGGCAAGAAGAAGAGAATTATAAATGAAAATCTTATTAGACGAACATTACTTATAGTGAACAAATACGTACGCCCAGCTGTATGACTGTCTCCTACAGTTAACGTAAATTAATGAGTCAAATTGTCCGGCCATTCAGAAAGCATTGTCAAGATCGCGGCGTTGTGATGACAATTTCTGTAGAAGAAACAAGCAAAGAGATAATTAACTTAGGATGGTGCTTAATAAACATGGACAGGTTATTGGAGACAGGTCCTGCGAATAATTCAATACTACAAGCAAGTATAAGCATATATCATAGGCTGCCCCATACAAGGACCAATGAGAATGATAATTAATAAATAAAACGCTATCCTGATAGGTCCCTTTCTCTATTCTTGTGTTTCTCGAAATTAGAAATGATATAGTATTTTTTTCTTTGAATTATATACACAATTCATCAGCACGTCCAACCCATTGTATATCTAAGAGCCTTGGGCACAAGGCAGCTCAAGAAACAGATAAATATTTTGATAATAGGACAAAATCCCATAGGCATTTGTATTACGAACTGGCTAAGCTTCTCACAATCTAATCATTTTACATTTTAATTTCTGTTCCACTGATATTCCTATACCGAGGTGTTCAGTTCATGTCGTTAGTATGCTTACTATATAAGTTAGGTATGTAAATGATTACAGTAGTCTAAACATTCGAGCTGTGATCTTTAAATATTGATACAGAAATACAATAATACAGACGAATTGAAAATTGCCATCTGGTATCGCTTCACAGCTCTTCACCGCGTAGCTAATCTCATTAATCATAACTGCATAATGATACAGTAGCAGGTAGTCTCAAGGACATCTATGTCATAACAATATTATGGAAATGCAAGGTGTTGTAGCTGTAACACGTTTTAACACCATTTTACTCTCAACTTGTTTCTTCTCCCTCTTCTGTTCCTGTCTCGGTAATAACTATCATTAATTAGCTCCTTGTATAGAATAATGAAAAGGTGTCCCGTTTGATATCAAAACTGTCATTTATTTTATGAATGTGACTTCAGGCTGAGTAAGGAATTTATTCTTAATTATTATAATGTGGAATATCCGCGATATCATTTTGGGTTATCGGATACCCGGGGGTATGTACGTATGTATCAGCACCTGAAGCGTAAAATCTACTTTATTTTCTAACAGTTTCGTGTATTTTTGTAGGGCAGTTATGCAAGTTATTATCCCCTGTGGTCAGGTATTATCTGGTCATTTGTGGATTCGTGGGTCATAACTTATAGGTCCCTTTATTCAGCAACAGTTTTCCAGGGTAAAGGTTTAGCATAAAATAGTCGTACTGTTTAATGTATTGTATTCAGGTTTCATTGACAAACTTTATAGAAGTTTCTTTTCATGTTCTTCATGTCCTCAAACAAGCGCTGATTGATCGAGTAGAATGTTCAATACCTTGTAGGTTTTTCCCCTCAGAAGACATTTTCCAGTCTTAGCATAATATTCCTCCAAATTCCAATATTAAGGCGAGAGTTACGTAATACTTTTTCGGCAGTATCTTGACACGTGGTGATAATGGCATTACCCTTCACTCAGAACGAAAATAAGTCTTCTGTTCAGTCCTACACACACAGAGATTGATTTACGTACACATTAGAATCATCGAGGCGTGTCTGATACAGCCCCTAGCACAAAGCGATGTCAAACACCTTAAACACCTACTATGTTTAAATACTTTAAACTAGATGGCATTTGAGATTTCGGCATTTATGATAAACAACAGTACACTGATAGTATTTGTGGTGTAAGTGGAACACAGTATGTTAATAATACAGTGCCTTATGAAAGATAGCTTGACAACATATATTTGATGCCTGCAAGTGGCTGCAGACAAAGTCCCTATATTGTCTTGTTAAAGATAATCCCGGAAATAATATTATATAGTAATAGACATAGAAGATAATGTCACAAAGCAATATTCTTGGGCATTCCACCCAATATCCGCATACGTAGCGCTGCCTTGAATTATAAGTGGATAGATACACGTGTGTTAAGTACTCTGTATACAAGGATAGGTCATAAGAAGGTGTAGTATGTGTGTATTCAGTTATCTGATACTCTTTAACAAGATCTACCTGTAAAGGGATCGTAATTGTAAAAGTGAAGACACCAAACAAAACACACAGCCTTGACCTTAAAACACCAAAGCAATTAGGCGTTAATGTTTAGAAACTATGATATCGCCGTTTCAACACTTTGAATGAAAACCGTTGGTGTGGCTTTCGAATTGTATCTATTGAATAACCACCGCACAGGCAAAGATAAAATTCGAAAGAAATGCAAAACATCAGTTTGAGTAAACATCTGATCCGTTCTGCTGATATGCATTACCTGTCTTGTTGTGTTGTTTTGAAAAACATCCCTCCATCGCTCTTATCTATAGCTGACCTGTTAAGTACCAAAACGTTATAGAATAATAATAATACAATTTACATACAAAATAGTCAGTCTAGACAAAACATCCATGTTTATGAATGTTTTAATATGTCGGATTGTTAATAGCCTGTTTACAGGTGGGAACGACAAACATTTCTAATTCATCTTCAAATGTAGTCACGTAAGTTAATTAGTTGTAAACCGTTAAACACCACCTTATTGATATTCAGTACTATAACAGATATCTGTCCAGTGATGTCTAGGCTAACATTACATAACTTTAACATATAAAACAACTAAACCAACAGAGCGTGACGGGTTCGCAAGTATTAGCATGTTGTGAACGCCTGCCTGTGACATTCATTCATGTCACTGTTTCCTGGCCGATCCGTAGTTTTAATAATTGCATAAAGTAAGCTGGTCTATAACGCATTGTCACCATCACGTCACGGAAAGTTCAGGTATGATGTTATCATGTAGACTATATGACTGAACATAAAATAGAAGTATGAGTTGATAACTTCTGAGACGAAATTCACAGCGTCACTACTGCCACCACTGTAGAACCAGTCAAGTGTGTCGGGTTATGGCGAGTTAAGTATAAGGACCACACCATTACCGAGACCACCTGGCCGCTGACCTATTGTATGTCGAAGACAATAGACTTTCATTGTACTCTGGAAGAACAGGTTTCGTTCGTTTGCTCATAAAGAATGGGCTTTCAATTAGAAAAGTTTTCCTGCTTACTAGTCTACAGACTGTTTACGTTCCTTTGATCTCAAACCATTACGTAACTGCGATCTTTATCATATCTACTGACCGTCAATGTTGGTGTACACTAAGATATAGGATATTTACTATTCTGCATACCAATGCATATTATTACAATTTTTATCAGATCAAAATAAATCCCAAGTAGAGCCCCTATATGGGCGTTATGACTTGTGACTGTTTAAATACATTTGTTTACTGTCGATAAATCTTCGCCCCAGGCTCGGTGTTCTAACTACCGTCCTAACTGGAACATCAATGTCAGATAAAGATACCTACCTGAAATCCCTTATAACACTCACAAAAACTTCAATACATAATTATATAGTCTGTAGACCTGTATACAGGCATACTCCGATACACTCAAACAATCGACCACTGACCAATGTAAACTTATTTGTTTTTGGACAAAGAGTGTAAAAGTTATTAATTCTAACCGCAGTACACTCGGCTTGATGGGTGTTGTATCACTCCAATACACCAGAGGTGACTATGATTTGAACAAGTCTTCCGAAAATACCGGATTTGAGCCGTCACGGCATGACATAACCATCAACCCCATATAACAGAGAATCATCGGCTCTTTGTTCATGTCAGAGTTTAGTTTCTTAAGAAAATTGCACCAGTTTATCACAATAACGGTTTATATATCGGCGGGATACCATGCTAGTTCATGGTTTGAAGTCAAAGGATGGATTGATTGTGCAATGATATTGATAGTTTTAACGTTGTTCACAAAGCAACTTTTTACCTAGAAACGGAAACAAAACGAAGTTAACCTTACAAACAAGAAGTTTTTTTATCGATTAAAAATTTAGATGAGGTCCCTCAAAATAGTCATTGGCTCCAATAACACATTAAACTGACGATATCAGGAAGTTGCCGTGAAACGCAATAATGATACAATAGTATTTCACTGCCTGAAAAAGAATCTCACATCCTAAAAAAATATCGATATACTCTCTTAACTCAATTGACTTCTCTTAAAAGCAGAAATATTGTGCCTTAGTGAATACTTTAATCAGCCTTGCAGTGAGTCTAAATCCTTATAAATTTGCTTTCTGGTTTTTATTGGAGACAGACAAAATTGTATCGAAACCAATGTTCTTTTTAAAATATTTCGAATGAAAGATAAAGCTTTAAATAGATTTTGCAAATGTTGTACTTTTTTTATAATTGTTTCCACACCCAGAACGTTATTAAGAAGACCAAATGAAATAGCCGCTTTAGCATAGCTTTAATTGTGCTACTGACGAGATTCACGGCTAAGACAATTATTTTGTAATTGAGATTAGTAAGCTATACAGTAGGTAACGGAAATTTGTCTTTATTCAGTGATATATGACAAAATGTTTCATTTTTTTATTTTCTAGACTTGATGAGGCTAAAAAGTACCACAACATTGACCGTGAGCAGATACAGAAACTGAACCAGCAGTTGTCGGACTACGAAGGAGAGATCAACATGCTCAGACGTACAGTCGAATCTCTAGAAACTGACAGACAGAGGGACAGGGATAGGATCAACAAGTTACAAACCGACATTGACCGTCTCAGAATCGTAAGTATACATCACGTTTATTTTTCCCTTTATCAAATTAAATTTTTCACTCATTCCTCAAAACGTCTTCACAAGTCTTACCGAGTACCGAGCTGTAAATTATTCCTGTATAAAATTCGTATTAATGTGACCGGCCTAATCTGTAGTTACAGTAGATGTAATGGTGAAATATCTGGTGGCATTGCTATTATCTAATACCAAGGGACGATACTGCTAACTGTTAGATGTTACTAGATGTTACGGCTAATTTGAGAACTTCTTTTATCAAAAACATACGTGAAACATAATTGAGGAGAATATAAGACATCGGCAAAATTTTTTTATCTTTGTACGTGGTTTCTTTTTATACAACAATTTATGCCGCGTGTTAGATGCTATTTAGTATGCTAAAATTCCAAGAATCGCTAATATGCATCGTAAGTAAGAAGAGTTTCGATTTTATCAAGTAACACGCCTTCTGTATCTCATTCCCTAACTGGCTCTACTTTATCTCATTCTACTGTATATAAAAATCTTTACACTAAACAAAACGGATACTTATATGGTCGTTTTTGTTGCAATGTTAAATTTCCCGGTGTATGTGGTATTTAAATGATATATTCAGCATTGTTGGTCTATGCAAAGCGGGAGCCCTTTATGAACCACGGAATACTTGTAATGGAATGTCCGTACGAAAAAGCGTAGACGGATGTTGATAAAACAGCGGTAGTCATGCAATCCAAACATTCTAATGTAGTCATGCATGCTGGGCGTGTGTTGCTATGCAGTTGAGCTTGTTAGCGGTGCGTTCTATCCTGTAGTTGTACTTCATATTGGTGCGTTCGATTGCATACGCCAACCACACGGTATTGTACTAGGAAAGTTGCCAGAACGCACCCAACGATTGATGCATTGCGACAAAGGCCCAAAACCTGCTTCACAAATTCCGATACAACTGAAGTCTGCAGTCTATTTCAACTTTGTAGGTATTATAATTGGATCTGGCGGTTTTCGTGAGGCGCAACTTCCATTGTGATATGAATTGTATGATAAGATACACGCGCTGTGTGAACATCGACCCGTTCATGTATCTCGTTGATTTTGTGAAGTCATATAAGCACGGGTTTATCTCCTCATGGCTACAACTGCCACTTTTAGTTGTACGACCTTGTGCCTCCACAATGCACTAGTCTTGAACATTTCAACTTAATTGATTCTGACTTGCACATGTATATCGATCAAAGAAAAAAGTTATATATATATTTATAGTCGGTTGTCATTGTCTGCAATCTGCAAGATAGTGTACAAATATCGTTGTGGTCTTCAGAATCCCGTCTGAAAAAAAGAGAAACAGAACTGGTTTACCCGCTAGAGTATATGATCAGTGAACGTGAGATACAAATAACGGTTGCTAAGCATTTGTTTCGCATTTCCTCGTTAGCTGACGTTCGTGTACTCTCACTGGTATAATATCTTAAGAACATTAGGACATATTCTTAGAGGATTAGTTATCAAATTTGTTCACGTATCCATGGAGATATGCAACCAGGGGACGCTTCATGACTTCCGTTTCATTAAATATCGTCACTTCTTACTCTGTCTTATAGCTTGATTGTAACTCTCTTTGCCATGGTGTTTGCGTTGTAACATAAATTAAATTGATTTTTGTTATATTCAAACACGACAATATACCCTTCATTGACCCTTAAATTTGAATCCGCTTCGAAACATCGTTAGAGATTGTATATATAGATTAATGTCTCCATCGCATTGCTTTTTCTATAGCATCATTGATTTTTAGGTCTACATCCACGGCACTTTGCTGTCTATCGATGCTAAATTATTTAATGTAATGTCATAACAAATAACTGCAGAACCTATTGAATACAATGATCAGATACAGAGAAAAATGCCTTCAATCGGCAACCAGTAAACATATTATGTAGGTGTATATGATATTAACACCTTTGGTATTTGAGCAAGTATTGCAAAACTGGTTCCTCTTCCGCCACAACTGTTATATTGTTAACAGTAATTATCTTATCCTCCCTTGTGATCAATCAAGCAGCTTAAACACCCCAAATACACGTAACACAAAGACCATATATCCAAAAGCTATATACGTAAGTACTTGTAGTCACAACTCTTCTCCTCCAGTATACGATCCCATCAATATTGTATGCTTGCTTTGCATGGTACCAGAACGTAAAATCACCATTATAGGTTTGATCTTTCAAATATTGACATGATTATATTGTGCTGCGAGACATACAGGCAATGTGAATTTCAGCTCGGTCATTAGTACCTCGCCTAAGGGTGTATTGTCTTAATTTGAAGACCAAGTTTTCTAGACTAATGATTATTTCGTTTATTAATCACTCTAAGTGAAACTCTATCGTTTTGGATTTTATAATGGCGCCACTTAGCAAAAATAGCATACGAAGTCATTAAGCATTAATCCTGATAGTTTCGCTGAAGTTTTTAGAAAAACAGTGAAAACCCAAACCAGTAGAGTAAGCCGAACAGGTCCATCTTACCATGCATCATGCTTAATTGGTACCCGTGTATGTGCACGTCGTCACGTAACTTGCTACTCGATCACTAGTTGTTATCTTTCTAATTCAACATGCACAATAATGTAGTTATATATCATTAAGTCCCTTACAACAAGCAGCAAAACACAATTCAAACCTTTCAGATCGGTAATCTATGTGATTTATCGCTGTGTCTGTGGTCCTCGATTACATGCCTTCATGTTCATGTTAGCTTTACCTAGTTTTTTCGCTTTAAAGGTTGATTATTGTTCTGATATTGTATAACACTGATAATTAGAAGTTGCCAAGTAAAATGTAATACAAGCGAATTTGTATGCAAGCGTTGGAATCATGTTTTTTTCCCAAATGTTCATATTTTGGAAGAAGTCTTATTTTAAATTGTTTAATGTTAATTTGAAAAGAAAGTAACAGATGAGCGACAACACTGCTCGCATGCTCAGATCGTGAGGTAACTATACTGTAAACATTAAATCGAAGCGATAAGTTCCGGACAGGCCGACATTAACTTTACCTGATTGATCAGGACGTAAAGCCAGGTGCTGCGTCGGTACAAAATAGGGTATCGTAATATATTGCAGAGCTTAAATGTCGGTGTTCTAAGGAACTCATTTATATAACGGTAATTATATCATTTTTCATTATGTTTTCAAAGCTGTGAGCCTCTGTGCTTTACTCGTATTTATTAACATTACACATAGCGAAGTTACGGGGATGGTCGTCATCCTGAAAAAAAACCCTAACAAAAACAATCACACGTAAGCAGGAGACGATGGTATACCCGATCAGTAAGGGGATGTAGAAACCTATGCTGCGTCAGCAATACGGCTCTTCCATAGTATACTCATGTTTGTATGGATCTTGGAACTCTTGTCACAAACTTACACCTGAAAAAGTGTAAAACACATTAGTGTTACGTTTTTTTTTAAACTCAACATGCAAAATAAATTAGTCATATATCATTATAGCCCTTTTAGTCAACCGCAACAACCAGTAAAACACCAATCAAACCTTTCACGGCAGTAATCGTTTGTGATTTATTTCAGCATTGTGGCCATCAGTGTCATGTCTTCATGTTCAAGTTTTGTTCACTCGAAATCACCTCACATTTCCCTGGCTTCTTACTGTGCACATACGACTCTTGTTGTGGGATGCTCTGAAAGTCAATTTGCCTGAAGGCGTCATACCTATAGGAGATAATTCAATATTAGATGATTACATATAATTCAATAGCCTATGTATATATTTCCTTAGAAATGTTTCGTAATAAAATTTAACGGTAACTATACCAGTTCAAAAGTTCCCAATTATTTCATTTACTTTCACCTACAAACAAACATTTTGTGGTAAGCGTATATTCATATCATTGTAAACTTTACGATGGAATGTCTACTTTGAAACCTCGCCATAAAATGATTACCCTGTAAATTCTATTTCATCCTCCTAATACTTAATGAGCCTATTCAGCAAACGGAAGACCGATATACCCCGCTTGCAACTACAAGGCTATATAAACTTGTGGTCAATAATGTTTGGGCGTATTTGTTTCGCTACTCAGACAGTTTCTTCACTTCAAGTCTGTCAGTCAGAGGCCACTAATCGATACTGGTCCTATCACAAATTGTGCTGACGCCGCTGTTTTTTCCCTTGCAGTTCTCGCAGCAAACCCGTATATGTATAACATTGTCTTTTGAACAGGACAAGTGGAAAATCATCACGCCTTCTTAAAACTTTAAAAGAAACAACTAAACATATTCTATAAGTGAAACTGCCATTTACATTCAAAAGACAAATTTTGACAGTACTTTTGTAAATGATATACAGTCAGACATATCGATAGCATTGTACACCTGCATACGGTCAACTGAAAAAGACCCCTACCATGAGCTAGCAACGTAGTGATGTCTCACTGTTTTTGTTTATATCAAGACTTTACCCAGTTACTAGGTTATAAAAGATGCAGGTTGGAGAAAATTGTATTGAAATAATCTGAACTGGCGCATCTATGTATGAATACAAATTTCACGGTTTCTACCTCATCTGTCGTTTTGAGAATTTGCCTTGAATTTAATCTAGTTTCCAATCACAGGCTTCGTTTATAAAAGGCATTCATCTTTCCAGAAAACCACCTATGATTCTTATTGCGCTATTTCAATGGTCAATGGTCGTGTATTGTACCTTATTTTTTCCTAATATCTATCGTTGTGTCGATTTGACCTAAAACATTCGCTCTTGTTTACATGTATATTAATCTGTTTTATTCATAATGTATGTAGCCAAATTCTCTTTTGTTCGACTGGTAAGGATATAGCTCAAACGTGGCTTCAAGGCTGGGAAAATATAATAAGCGAAATGTTTTGCACTATTTAATAGTGTGTATGTATATCTTAGACACGCCATTAAATCAGGATCACTGCAGGAGTGTTTTGATGGAGAAACAGCATTCTCATTCCATTCATAAAAAAAAATATTTTAATATCATCCATGTAACTTGATCGTCTAGAATAAAAACACCATAAAAGTTATAACGAAAACTAGGTTACATAGTAAGACACAATACAGGTGTCTGCTATAAATGATCTGATTTGCATATTATATATGTACATCATGAGAAAACATTGAATAAGATGGTGTCCGCAATACATTTGATTTGAAACAGGAAGGCATACAAACTACCGTGTATCAGGACTTTATCAGTGATTTACAGATCCTACCGAATTTGCATAACTGTGCCATCATTTATAATTCGGTTTAAGCGCAGTTGAATCTATTATCATAGTGTAGCTTGATCGTGGATTGATTACTAAGTACGTTAATTAAATGTAGAGCTAATAATATATTCTCTTATATACACATTTAGCTACTGCCAATGTTTAAAAAAGTTCATACGTTTCATTCACGTACAAACATCTTTTTCTTTTCTTTAACAGGATTTGAACAATGAGACATTGAACCATCTTGACGCTGAGAACCGTCGCCAGACTCTGGAGGAAGAGATGGTGTTCCTGAAGAATCTCCACGAACAGGTATGGCATATGTATAACTGTCGTAGAAATCGATTAAGCTGTGTAGAGTTATCAAAAACATCAATATACAGAAATATCGCTCTAATGAAACCTAATATCATATTAAGTAACTGAAGACGCTGTAGAATAGATTGGTTTGAACTGAGAAGTAGCATTTATATTTAGAAACGCCATGTGGTTGGAAAGGGATAAATACTTAATTCAATTTCCGTAGTAAATGTCTCGGTAATTAAGCCATTCGTCTAGACTTGATATACATTGTTATATAGTTGCTGATACTAAGCAAAGACATTAAAACAGCTGAAATAGCTAAGTTTCCAAGAGTGCACAGAATAGTGCCGCCATCATTCATAAAAATATCAGCGCCAATCTAACAGCTTGTGCTCTTAAAATTGGCAACGAACTGTTCTTGGAATGAATGACAAGCATACAATTTTCTCACATCGATTCAAGACCAAAAGTACAGCATATTATTAAAGTGCTGTGACTACGAGATACCGAGGTTTACAAAACGGTCCATCAGCACCTCTGTGCACCTGTTTAGTACCTTTGTATTATTCATTAAGCACTTTAATGTGTTGTATTCAGTTACATTGTTTGGCGTTAAAACATAGCTAACAAAACACATAACCATCCAATATAATATTGCAAAGAATAGGACAATTTGCCAAAGACCGCTTCTCAGATATCCCTATCATTGATAAAAGAAAGATGGATACGATCCAAACACTCATTAACGTTTATTAACAAGATTCAAAAGGGTCGTGTATCCCATTTCTCTTCTAATGTAGTGTTTTGTGTTGTTATATGTCTATGAAAAGATAACAAATATTCTGAGAGACCAATCGATGAGCAATCATCAATAAGATATTGACATAAAGAGTGCAAAATAGTTACTAGTTTATATTGCCAATCCATTTTGTCACATTAACATTTTCAATGGACGTTAAGGAACAGCTGCAAAAGATAAAAGGATGCAATTTGTGCAATAATTCTCCTGTTGTAAGTAATAAAACTTTACAGACATATATTATAGATCTTTAGAATGGTAATCTGGTTATCTGTTGATGGCGTTGTTATGGCGACCACTCGCTACCTCTTGAGATCTGGTTGTAACTAGTCAGAGGCCAAGTTAGCGCGGATGTGTAATGATTAGGGTATCCCTGGGGGACACACGCACGTAACATCAGCTCTTTGGCGAACCCTACATTCTATCTTTTTATGGTAGAAATAAATTATTTTGCGTGAACTGAAGAATTACGGTGCCAACAACTGAGAGATGTGGGACCTTGTTTTAATGTTTGGAATGTCTATTTTGGCTCCCACTAATACGTTCCCTCCGCCTACTTAGGAATATTATTTAACTGTTAGGTAGCGGGAATACACGATACAACAGGAATATATCTATACCAGAACTCTGTAATCGTTAGCAACCAACTCGAACAGAGAAGTATTTGCCTTCCTATAAATATGCAATGGCCTGTGCCGGTTGTATAGATACTATGTATAATGCAGAAAAATGTCGTTTGAGTACAATCCCTATTAAGTTTATGGTGAACTGGCATGATATACAAGCTGTAATTCAGAGATCAATTATCGTTAGGGCGTTTAGGGTTATACATCGTCGAGGAATACAAGAACATTTAAACTCGATGTTTTACTGTCGCTGAGGTCATTCAATTATTATTTCAGATACCGATACTCTCAGATATCATAACCTTGACACGGTGACATGGTTATCTGCCTGATTACATTACATCGACCAAGAGACTGTTGGTGCTTACATACACCATTTATTAATAAATTGAGACAAGTAATATTCTAGGAATTAAATGTGTCCCTTCGTCTCTGGAAGGTGGCTAAAATATATCACTGTCCTCCTTTGATCTTCTCCTTTTACTAGAGGAAAAGTATTTCTTGGCAAGATATATAGCACAAATGCCTTATTTGTCGAGTGTAACAGATCCATTCCTTGCTATACACGTTTCCTTCTCGAGGACACAAAGAAAAATCTGGTAAATTATGTGTTTGACTCCATACCACGATGCACAACGATTGTAGTTTGTTAATATTTTTCTCAAATCTTAGACATGCAATGATTAAGTGTTAAGTTAAAAGAAAATATGTTTATTAGAATATCGTTACTGATTACTATTAACGCCTTATCTTTATACTTTTAATGGAACGGAATCCGACACTCGAACATGTACATGTAGCTCTATCTAAATTACGATTAGACTTTCAGTCGCTCATGATGATACTCTACCGTGATATTCGGTATGTTTGAAGTATCATGAAAACAATTGCCACATATGTTTAAATTCTGATTACAGTTATTTGAAAATTTAATCATAAAGATAATTTGACCAAAATCTTCTACTTTCTCCATTTTCAGGAACTTAAGGAACTTGCTGCTCTCGCCTACCGTGACACCACCGAAGAGAACCGTGAGTTCTGGAAGAACGAGTTGTCCTCTGCCATTCGGGATATTCAGAGAGAGTACGACCAGAAATCTGACCAGATCCGAGGGGACATGGAAGCCTACTACAACCTCAAGGTATGCAAGGATATAAACGCCGAAATACGGAGTTTTTATAACTGTTTAATTATTAGATGATCACATATTTAGCCCATCCTTTACGAATAACGACGAACAAAAACTGTTTCTATATGTCAGCAAATAAAATTTTTGTAAAAGTCAACTAGACTTCTTGTTATCACAAATTATACATTTTTCTTACTTGCCTGATCATAAGATTATGTGTTAGATATCGACTATTTTATCATGAATTTTGTGGAAGAAAACATGTCTTAGATCTTTCAGTCAAGAATCTGTCTTTACCTTCAGGTTCAGGAATTCCGCACAGGAGCCACTAAGCAGAACATGGAAGTCACTCATGTTCGCGAAGAAAATAAGAAACTTGTCAAGCAGATGACAGATCTTAGAGGACGACTTGCTGACCTAGAGGCCAGGGTAGGTAGACCCAATGATGTTGCGTTCTTGGAATAAAAAATTAATAGCCCCATGCCAGCCAACATTAACACAAGAACAAAATTGGAATCATAATTTCACTCGCGTGCGTTTCGCTCACGGGCAAAAATGTTTTAATATGTATGATCTGTGTAGCGTAGAGTTTTAACACGAGGAAGAAAATAAAATGAAAACTTTCAGACACAGCTACTTAGTTACTGGTCGAGTCTATCAACCGTTGAGAGATAAGATACACTATCTATATTTCACTGCAATGCAGAAACTTGTGTACACATACGTAATACATACCTTAGGTAATTATTCATATGAATCATTCCTTTAACGTCTTTCTCAAATTATAAAATTTATATTCATTTAACACTTAGTTATTTGAAACGTTGCCATAGGAATTATTTTCGAGTTCATGCTTTAAAAAGGAAGAAATAAATTTTGTGTTCGCTTGCGACTTTTTAATTTTGAATATGATAATAGCAGTAACGTTTCTAAGTACAACAACTTTTATTTTTAGTTTTTGCTTGTTGAAAAACTTGATATATGATATCATATCTGTGTTTATCTTCAATTTCCATAGAATGCACAACTGGAGAAACAATACCAAGACATGCTTCGAGAGTACGAACAGATGGAGACTGACCATACTCTTGAGACTGCCACCCTGAGGGAAGAGATCACTAAGATGAGGTCCGAAATGGAGAGCATTCTCCAGGAGCTGCAGACCCTCATGGACGCTAAACTCTCTCTTGAACTCGAGATCCTTGCCTACAGGAAACTTTTGGAAGGAGAGGAAACACGGTAATATATCTAATAAGCACTACACTTGTTTATTTTAGAAGCTCGCATTTTCCCGGTCGTTGAAATATCGCAAAACACAATTCAACATCAATTTCTTTAATACGTTTGCACTGAACAAATATATATTTCAAGTACATTTTTAACAGAACTTTATATGTAAAATTTTATATGTAAATTATGACGGAGAAAATGTGAACAATGAAATGATATTCACTTTTACCTTATTTATTCTATGTAAACTATATTCAATATTTATCCAAAATATCTAACCTTACCTTAATGTATTCCATGTAAAGCATATCAATTAATATAGCCAAAATTTACAACGCTGTAATGTACAACAATTCAACTTATTGCAACTTCGAAACAGAAACGTACTTTTACTTCATTTAGCGGAAATCAGTCATTCATCTACATGTTATGATAGAAAATTAAATTGATATCAAAGGATTTCCAATTTGACAATTTAAAAAAAATTATGAGAGTTAAATGTCAAAATATGACACGTGTATATTTTTCTTCCTTTTTTTCCTTTAAGGAAGAACAATTTTCGATATTCGTACCGAAAAATGTAATTTATGTAATGCAAAGATGGGATAGTGTATATATATCATCGCATTTACTAACAAATGATCGCATGGATTAAATGGATGTAATAGTTTGAATTGCATAAAAGTATGAATTGAATGATATGAAACTCAGATATATGCTCTCTGTTTTTTCCTTTCGCAATCTTGACCCCGGATATTAATTGAATGATGTCGCTTCTTCACCTTTTCAAATTATGCGTCACAGTGCGGACAGATTTCGCAACCTTGTAGGAATGGCTCACACTCGAGTTTCGGCTCCGTGGAGGAGATATGACACAACCAGTCAATACAGCAAATCTGACGCCGATGCTGAAGAAAGAACATCTGTTGATGATGAAAAAACCGAAAGGGACATAACCCCGGAAGACGAATTAAAATCTATTATAGACGTTAAAGGGGGTACAATGCCGACGGTTGATTCGGCCAGTGACAAAGAAGATGGCGATGATGACGCCGTTGATGATGAAACTACTGATACAAAAGTTAAAGAAGAATTAGCTGAGGAGGTCGTAGTTGAGGAAAAGGTAACAATTGAAGAAGTCGTTAAAACTGAATCAGCTGCTGCTCCTGCTGAAGATGATAATGAGACAAAAACCGAAGAAGAGACTGAAGACAATGATGGAGGCGAAGCTGCTGATGATGGAGACAAAAATGAAAGCGTAGATGAAACCAAAGAAGAAAGTGCCGATGACAATGTGGATCAAGCTGATGATGCACCAGAAGCAGAGACGGAAACAAAAACTGAAGAAGAAGAAACAGAAGATAGTGCAGATGTTAAAACGGAGGAAACAGAAGTTGCAGAAACAGTTGCCGAACCAGAAACCGAAAAAGAATCTACCGACAACCAAGAAGAAAAACCCGATGAGACTGAAGACAATGACGGAGACGTCAAAGATGAAGAAACAACAAACGAACCAGAGGTAGAAGATAACGAACCTAAAACGGAAGTGATAGAAGAATCAGCAAAGGCGGAAAGTACTGGGGACGATGACACCAAAGAATCTGTAGAAGATGATGGCACAGAAGGTGACAAACAGGCAGAGTCTGAAGCAGACGATACAGGAAAGGACGAAACAAATGAAGAATCAAAGGATGTAACTGATGCTGTAGAAGAGACAAAAGAAGATGCAGAAACGGAGGGACAAGATGATACAACCAAGGAAGATGAAGGCACCGAAGAAACAGAACAAAAAGAATCCCAGGAACAGGAAAGCAGTAGTGTAAAATCTGACGAAAAAGATGAAACTGCAAAAGAAGAGGAAAAGGAATCACCGGAAGTAGAGGAAACGAAAGAAGAAACAGCTGTTGATGACAAATCAGCAGATGATAGCGAAATAAAGGAAGCTGGAGATGCAGAGGAAACTGAAGAAGAAATTACCAAAGAAACAGCTGGTTCCGTCGAATCAGAGAAACCAGATGACACAGCTGAATCAGAATCACAGAAAATGCCCGATGAGGACGAAGGTGATCAAGATAAAGAAGAAAGCGTAACAGAAAAACAAACATCACCAAGTGTAGAGGAAAAACCAGATACCAATGAGGAAACTGAAACAAGCCAAGAGGAATCTGCAGTAACAGAAAAACCAAAAGACGATTCAACAAATGGTGATAATTTGGATTCTAAGCCAGAACAAGAAAAGGATGAAACAAGCGACAAACCGGATGAGGTAGAGACAGAATCAACAAAAGAAGATACCAACGTAAAATCAGAAATTGAAGACACTGATTCTAAATCTGGAGACGGTGACGATACAAAAGTGGACGATAGTAAGACTGAAGAGGATGACGGCAATAAAACTGAAGAGGGGGATGATAAATCAGATAAACAAGATGAGCCACAGGCAACTGATGATGACGACAAACAGCCTGGAGATGTAAGTAATGAAAGTGAGGAATCACCGAAAGTGACCGACGAAGCAGCACCAGAAATAAATGGCGATGATAAAAATGGCGACGACAACACTGCTGATACCAAAGAAACGAAAGAGGATGTAGATTCAAAATCCGAATCAGAAGAAAAACAGGAAGATCCGTCCAAGGCAACAGATGATGCAGTTAAGACGACTGATGTAAATGGCGATGTCAGCGATGGTGCTGATGACAAGGATACGACAAATGACGACGATGAAGGTGATTTGTATTGTCTGATCATCAATACCGTTTGAGCAGCACCCCTGATATGATTTCTTTTATCTTTTATTCCGCATGTAGTTGCCTTGGCATCTGTTTGTGGTCTTGCTAGTTCACCGTTTTATTCATTCAGAGAGGCGTCATGCTAACGTTGCTTTTCTTTTTATATGTTGTTTTTGGCCGACAGATCAGCCTTCGCGTTAAGGTATCGTCACGTCCCGGATCCGCATTTGGATCCCTGGGTTCATTTAAGGGCGGAACCAGACTACCCTCCCGCGGAGGCAGGTATGTCATCCAGACTATCGCATGCCACGTGACAGCCAAGACATGCTATGATTGGTTCTTAATTTCCCCTTCCATGTTTGATTTATTTTCAGTTTGTTTTCTTTTTTTATTTTCAAACCAACAGAGTAGGACTGCGAAATGTTGTAGAAGAGGCAGTAAACTCCCAAAGCAGAGGGGCATCCCAAATGTCGGAAATGATATCAGGCTACGAGTCGAAGGGTGGTGCGTAGAACAATACTACTGTATGATTATACAAGACTAACTGGATATAGTTTAGATATATAACACCACTTGATATATAAGACTATATTGAAATATACCGTCGTAGTATGCTCTCTAGTGTAACATCTATACTAATGTCTTGTGAGTATATTCTAACCCAATAACACCACTTGTATAACTTACAAAAAATATATATTTTTCGTTCGTACAAAATATGCATGAAATGCATTTGATACTTTACTTCCTGGAGTCTTTTGAGGTCAATATTAACCCAGACTAACGCTCGATAGACCAGTGAAATTACATAGACTAACCATTTATATTGCTAATAAAATTGCCTCAGAGATCATGCCTTGCAAAGTGAAAATGTCTGTAATGAAACAGCATGCTTTGCTTCGTTAGATCATATGAAATCATCCAGTCATGATGAACATTGGAACATGCAAACGGCCCAAGACTAATAACAAGCAAACGTAGTGGGAAACCCGGCTTAGCTCACATAGCTCACTGCTTAAGGAACGTGTAAGGCTAGGCTTTATCGGTTCGCGTTCGGAACTTATAAATGAAGATTCAGTGTGCATTAATTTCTGCTTTAAAAATCTGTTTTCGGACTTTCTGACTACAGCACATGCGGCTTCAGGTATCATGTTTGTTACGTTCTGTATGCATGCCACATCACTTGCACGTCTATAATTTCTCATCCACATTGACCATCATTTCATCCTTTCGCTGTGTTACTCTTGTTATTTGTTCGTCAATACCAAATGTAATATATTTCAGATACATTTATAAGTAACATTTATGTGCCTTAGATAAGCAACAATCTTTTTTTGTTGAGAAGATGATTTTCCTTTCATTTCTACCAATATTCATTGGAAGGTTGAAACGCTAATAATTCTATATAAGGTATTATATATCACATAATATTCATTAATGTGACTTCATTTTCATGTCATGCTCATTCATTCGAACTGATGTCAATGTTCTTGTTTTGAAAAATGCATTTGAAGAAACATGTAAATGTACAAACATTGAAAATCCATATCAAAATGGTAATCATAAACTTACTTTTGTTTATAATTAAGAAAAATGTTATAAAAGTAAATTAAGTTTGAGATAGACGTTAGATTCACCGTCATTGTGTCGAATGGTATTCCAGACTCATCCGTTAGTATGAGAATGATGCGCGGTGAAGTGTCTGCTAAGACAACATACCAGAGAACATCAACTGGTCCTCTATCCGTGGCCGAGGTCAGCCCGGAAGGCAAATTTATTGTACTGGAAAACACCTCATCCGGAAGTAACAAGAGGGTAAGTCTACCAATACGTGGATTTAATTATGATTTTACAAATTACATGATGTACGATATCTGTCAATTAACGGGTTTTGATTTGTATCAAGAAGCGTGAAACTTTGTTATACAGGAGAAAAATTTTGGGGATAAGGGGACAAAATAAGCAATAGTATTTCAGACGCGAAGTTTCATACCTTAAAATATTATGCAAAAGAAATGGTGCTGTTTGGAAAAAAGTATTTACTGCAAGCAAACTACCAAACCAAAATACTTCTGGTCACACTGTTATCGGCACTGTACTCAATCATGATGTATCAGATGAATATTAGATATTGCACATGACGTTTCTATATATTAATAAATTGCTTGTTTTGGTATCAGTTTTACTTTCCAGATGAGTAACGATAGCCTTTTTCTTTGTTTCAGGAAGTTGATTTGAACAAATGGAAACTGAAACGAACCGTTGATGGCCAACGTGACTACATCTATGAATTTAGAAACTTCTCCCTGAAGCCAGGCAAAAGCGTGAAGGTAAGCAGGACTCAGTATTCATTCAATTATTTCGGAGCTGTATGTGTCCTCATTGATGAACATCTACTTTAAAGTGTAAGAGTATATACCTTTTATCGGTCTTGCCATCATATTTGTTACAGTTCGTTTCAGTAGTCTTAGTTAAACGAATAGATAATACATCTGTGTCCTTTACCTCAGATCTTTGCTCGTGGGTCTGCCGGTGAAGCTGGTCTAAATGATCTTGTGTTCCGTGACGAAGAGACTTGGGGATTTGGTGCCCAAGTAAACACCGTTCTGTTGAACGAGAAGAACGAGGTAAGTCTCGAGTAAAATTGTTACCCGTAATAACCCGTCTTTTACACCTATTTCATTTTTATACACGTATACACTACTACATTGTTTTAGCTAATTAATTTTTTTCATCAATATTCGGCTTAGAGTGCAAAATGATTCATTCTTTGAATGTCATATGTTATACAGTTTGAAAATGCAACTTTATTGATCAATTTAACACATCAGAACAGCGTGTTGAGTGCCATCAAGATTGCTGCATAACCATTATAATAAACATTTATGTGTTATTTTCTTTGTAGGAAAAAGCAACCCACACCCAGAAAACTAAATACCAGTAAAAATCTAGCCATGCCATGACGCCAACAACTACTGCAAATTCTGTATCTACTGTAGTGCGCTTCCCATCATCGACTGCTGACTTGTGAATTATACACCATCGATGGTTGGCTAATTAATCAATGTTCAGTGTTACGGCTTTCTGTTATGATTCTTTAGCCAGCCGTCACCCGGTGTTTGAACGGTCCTCGAACCGATTAGTATATGTTGATCAGTGATCTGGTATACTTCATCTTGTCACTGGTTTGTGCTTCAACATTCATCTTAGCACCTTGCCGACCAAAATGAATTGGTAACACGCGTCTATCGAAACAATTGGAACTCTTTATCTTGTTCGAGTCAGAAATAATGGATATCTGCTAGTTTAATCCTAGTGTGATCTGGGATAGATCTTTGTTTGTTTCTCCTGGCCACATACCTATGCTTAGCTATATACCTCTACGAGGAAAGGTCCACAAGGAAAGCGATAAAGTGGCTGTGAACTGTGATGCATATGTGCTGCTTTTGTAACATGCCGTTCACTAAACATTAGATGTGAAGTGATGTATGTGATTTTGGATAACATTTTATTGATGTACATGTCATTGGTGTACCAAGCGAGTATTTATTCAAATTTTATCGTTAATGAATATTTGTAACTTTTATGTTTTTAACAAATTATGTTTGAGTTACGGTTTGTGTTCCACCTGCCTCCCTTTACTCGTCTTCTTCGTTACAAGCACCTTTTGTAACTTTTATACGTTTTTTTTAAAAATCATTATCATTATTCATTTTTGCAAAATTAAATCTGGACTTTTTGTTCGGTGGTGTAGAGAAAGCTGAGAATTTGATAGTTCTGGCGTGAATGCTGAACGCGAAGATGAGTATTATAGGGGAGACAAAGCTACCACGGCTACTTATAATATCCTCGTCTCTATTATTTATGCAATTTTCTTTCAATAAATGCTGTATTTTGTAAGTTTTTGTTTTGTCCTTTTGTTTGCATAATTTATGTTTGGATATCGTCCGATTTCTAACTGGCTTATTTTCGTTCTTAATTACACTTCAGCAGTCTACATCGTTGTTACCGTTGTAGCGGTAGCAATATGTTATACACTGTACAAAAAAAACAATATCCTATTTTGAGGGATGGAATGAAAGGAAACTAATGTACGGTGGGAATGACAGATATTACGATGTGGTATAAATCCTGATGAGATAATATACGAGAACGGACTGTGAATATTTGGTTCGTGTACCGCCTTTATATTGCTAAGACATATTAAATGTTTGTGTCTCCGTTACAAACTAATAAACAACGATTGACAGAAGAATGCGTATTCAATACCGAAAATAACAGATAACGTCATTTATTGATATAATTTATTAATATAATGTCAAATTAGAGTATTATATCATAATTAAATGGTAGCAATAAAGCATCGCAATCGATTGTCTATTGTATAAATATGTTTAACAGGCATGGATATGCCGACTTAAGTATAACAGCAGCTGGAAAATACATCTTTTCCAATCTCACTTCGACCTCTTCGGTTGTTTTAATCTTCGATTTTGGAGATTGAAACATTACATCCGTCCATACAACTCATATCTTGGATGCTGATGATACTAAAATCAAGGTTGACGCATCAAAGAATGACTCGCACAAATATAAACTTTAAAAATGGCAATTGAAGATTATCGTATATAACTACACTTGACTAAATACGAATGGTATGAATGAGTTTGAACAGAAATGCATTTCAATGAGTTGAAGTATAAAAAGACAATAATCTAAACGTTACGAACACTGACTCAAATTAAGAAGAGAATCATTTGGGTATAATAGATAATTACAAATTCTTGAGACAAATATACGTAGCCCATTTTGCACTACGGACAACTAAACACTAAAACCTCCATGTCATATAAACGTTTAGCGCAACTGAATAAAACCATCATCTGTTTGAGATGAACGTGACGCTCGAATCAAAAGAACAGACTTTTTCCAGGATGAAATTATACAAAATGAAAGTGGTCGATGATGTATTCCTTCTCTTTAGCAAACAACATAAACGTTGTAATGTGTTTCTTGAGTCAATGTTGTTTTTATCCCACAGTTAAGCTTATTTCTTCTTTATATTTCGTTTAGCCTTTTACGTTTCTTTTTTTACTTTATAAAGCACCTTCTCCCACTTTGTCTGCCATGAATCTATTGCCTACTGATCGGTATTATATTCCGTGTGCTAGCGTGTCGATACATCCACATCACATTATGTAATAAGTGTCCTCCTCATGATCAACATGGAGCAAGTGTTTAATATATATATATAGTCAGATCAGTTCATAGTTCTATGAATATGTGGTTGAATGATAAGAACAAAAGAGTGTTCGCTGGGAATATTAATACTCCGTATATTTAGTTGTGGTATGTATTTACAGCAATATCAATTATTGTTGTTACTTTTGATATGTAAACTTTTACTTAAAAGGTTGTAACTACATGACGCGGCATAGAATATATCGTTATAACACCCCGTATAGGGCATTTTTATTAATTTTTTACAATATTGTTATAACATGTTGAATTTTTTGTATATACATTATAACATAGTGCATAGAACTTATACGTACATATATATGTGGAACTCCGGTGACCTCCAAGCTATTGAGCGATCATCTGCCATCTCTAATAAGCGTATCTTCTGATGTAGAATTGATAATACCGTGGTAAATATGATATACTGATTCCATGCATCATCTTCAAAAGATGAAATTTAAACAGGATCTCTATAACTATGACAGTACTTGTGACTTGTGTAATGTTTCTGTTTCAGCATCTGTCTCCATTTTCTCGTCCTTGTAGTATGTCCGATCGATAACAAGGAGGCTTTCATCTTGCATTTTATTGATATGATAGACAATTCAGGTGTGATATATGAAAATGAGCCTAAATCAAAACAAACAATATTAAAATGAATGAGCATGTCTGTTGCTTATGATCATCCATGTTTAAACGAAAATGTTGTCAACAAGCGCAAACTCCCTTTATTTATCTATAAAGTAGAATAGATTTTTTTTTGTCCAATGGTAAACTAAGCTTAGAAAATTAATTAATCTAATTTTAACTTCGGAAACCTGTGTTAAGTAGAAATTATGTTATGAATATGGATTGTGTATAATGTATATATAGGGGAGGTATTCCGTCCAGGTTCAAAACCATGAAACTCTGACAAGTTGTACCAATAGTACGTCAGGGATGTACCTGTGGATAGATGTCAACGGCAATCACAGATCTAACGATAAATACGTTCATTTTTGACATGATATATGGGATAGAATACCTGTCTTCCCAGTCCTTAACCAATTGGTCAGTGCACCTCCGGGTTTCTGTGATACAGTAGTAATTATCGATACGTTGGTATGATGTAGGATTCTGACACAAAAAAAAAACAATATGTGTGCGTATGAGTGGATGAGTGTTTGTATTGTATGGCTGTGTTGTTCTTTATACAAATAGTATACACAAATTTATCTATATATATAATGATATAATTTTTTTCTTGTATCAAGACCAACGAATATCATCTGTATGCCTTAGTTAAGCCTGCCTTTTTAGTTATATGTCCTCCTCATAAATTAAAATCTGACGTTCACAATAATTGTCAATAAGATTTTGAGCGTATACAAAATGTACATAAGGCATTTCGACACATTGTGTTTAAAAGCAATGCATGTAACATGTTATATGCATATCCTAACCATATATGTTCAACATTTCCTAGTGTACTCAAGGTAAAAAACCCTACAAGATACTGATATGAGTCAAGGTCAATTACCTTCGTTGTAATTATGTCTAAATGCTTGTGATTCTGAAGTCTTGTTTGGAGGTGGTCGGTATCGCCAGATAGATATGGTGGTCACTGGGGTTTTATTTTTTCACTATTTGAATACGACGGGATCACTGGCTATGCATTACACGATTTTAGCTCTACAGACGTGATGTCCAGTCACTGTACCGGACAATGATTGATGTCCAGTCTTTGTACCGGACAACAATTCTTTACTCTTTTATCTTGGTATTTTACGCTCGTCCAATCAATGTCTTACATTCTATTATATGTTTTCTGTGATATTAAAACTTACCACTTAAGCTTCCATGCTCGCCTTTTTTTCTTTGGACTTCCTTTGTGTACTTCCTGTTCCGTAGAATCTAGCATGATACACAGTATCATACTTTTGAAAACAAAATCAAAATCCTCGTTAATCCAACCACCCATAAACCAACACCAAGCTATTCTATCAATCTGTCTATTCTGTCAATCTGATCTCCAGCAGCAATCCTATTCATTCACAATCTAATCACTTGGGCTGATGTTGGTATAGTTGGAAAAACGAGGATCGATAACCAAAGCTGTGACACGTGTAAATGTATCTGTGAAAGAGACGTTTCTATCAATTTGACGTTAAATTTTTTATCAGACAATTCATCAAAATTAATATAAAAGTACATAAACTATTTGAATCTGTACGCAAAAAACTTATCAGGAAACTCTACTTCAATTTCATCTTACAAACAACAACAGTTGGACATCAATTGATGCTGTTTTCATCAGGATTTTCCACTCTTGGTTTATCTTACCTTGTGAAATACAAACGGCAGCAGTTTGGACATCTAATATTATTTCTACAGCAGTTTACAAAACGTAAAGAACTTGTTAAAGCTGTTTACATACACCTTGACCTGCATAGTCAAAATTCCACATCCAGGATGAAGTCACATACGGAAAAACATATCCTTAGGATGGTCATCATGTACACTAATGAAATATTGTATTCGTTATAATGACTAGACGTGATTTGCACAAAAACCCGCAGACAACAAAGCGCCTTTCAGCTGAAAATGATAATAATAACAGTATTAATTGCTAAACAATGAAATAAACAGTATCAAACAGATGTTTCAACAACTGAAGTAAGAAAATTTAGACGACGAGTCAGGGAAATTCAATTTGGCCTACACGAATGTTCAAATATAATATTGGGGAAAGGTGATCATTCCGTGATTTTCAGTATTGGATGGTAATAGCCATGTGTATATATTAAACCGTGCCACTACTCGGATGAATTAAAACGTGACATGAAGGGTTTCCGAAATCTCAGAGACAAGAGTCCACCTACAGAATTTTTGGAATCCTCGAGGACTAGAGCCCACTGACAGGATTACAGCAAACCACAGTTACTATAGTCCACCTAAAGGGATAAAGCAAATCTCGAGAAGTAGAATCCACCAACAGGGTGATAGCAAATCCCGAGGACCACAGTCCACCAACAGGCTGATAGCAAATCTCGAGGACCACAGTCCACAAACAGGCTGATAGCAAATATCGAGGACCACAGTCCACCAACTTCGTGATAGCAAATCCCGAGGACTAGATTCCACCAACAGGGTGATAGCAAAACTCGAGAACTAGATTCCACCAACAGGGTGATAGCGAACCTCGAGGATCAAAGTCCACCAACAGAGTGATAGCGAACCTCGAGGACCACAGTCCACCAACAGGGTGATAGCAAAACTCGAGGACTAGATTCAACAAACAGGGTGATAGCAAATACCGAGGACCACAGTCCACCAACAGGGTGATAGCAAACCTCGAGGACCAAAGTCCACCAACAGGGTGATAGCAATCCTTGAGGACCAAAGTCCACCAACAGGGTGATAGCAAACCTCGAGGACCAAAGTCCACCAACAGGGTGATAGCAAATCCCGCGGACTACAGTCCACCAACAGACTGATAGCAAATCTCGAGGACCACAGTCCACCAACAGGGTGATAGCAAATATCAAGGACAAGAGTCCACCAACAGAGTGATAGCAAACCTCGATGACTAGAGGATTACAGTTGAAGACTAAGATCCACGAGCAGTGGACACCAGCAGAGTTTCCTTCCTGCATGTGATCGATGTCTGGCACTTTCAGAATACTTTAACTGTCTCGTGATCAGTTCTGATTGGCAAATCAATGTTACAACTATATAGCAGAACTGCTACTGAGCCCTGTAGTATTCTAAAAGACATTTGGAGATTTCACCAGTTAGTTTGATCACGAAACCTGTCGATCAACATTTGGACCATTTTCTGTAGGAATAATCATTATGGTTGGCTTTGTATCGTTGCAACAAATGCAAATTCCTCTTCTTTTCTCATTTCCACACTATAAGAGCAATTTTATGAATGGTGTCTTGATGTGGAGCTACAGATAAAAAAATGTTGTAAAAAGATATACTAGTAAGCAATACAAGTAACGTCGTGTCCCATACTCCACTATACACATAGCTGTTAACTTGAACTGTTTTTACACCTGTCGGTACAGACATACCTCTAAAATTCTCAGCTTTGGAGTACAACATTGACATGAACTGTCATCTTGTGGTCACAACTGATTGATGAGTATACTATTTCCTTACTGAAGATTTGAAGGAAAATGTCATTCACGGGTGTTAAGTGATGTCTGTCATTTATTTATTCATATACTTTCCACATAACAGTTCTAAATATAATAATAACATCTTTATGGAAAACAGATATACGGTAAATCCCCGGGTGTCAATCTTACTATAATTAACCTAGGTTTGTTGTAGCGATCTTGTACGAAATGTTGCAAAGATATGTAAAGGAGAGAAAAAGAGCAGGACTAAATTGATTAGAAAATATATGTTAATTTCTAATTAATCTACTAGCCACTTACACGAGAATAACTCGGCCAGAACGGGTGACATTACAAAGACGTCCAGGGGTATAACTTTCCGGGTCGATCTACATCCATTGACAATGACACCAGTCTTTCTGAAAGTTTCTTCATAGTGCAATAAAGAACACATACAATGTGCAACACGGTTTAATGAATTGTTCAAATAAAAAGCATTTTCTCATTTGAGAACGTGACATAACTTGCTTGGATTGACCTAGATTTACATGACGGATTTCATCAATGAAGTAGATAACGCTCACTCTTCTGTAACACATGGACTTTTCTCCTTGAATTTTCTTTTGTTCATATTTCTCCCCAGATTTATTGAATTAGAGTTTGGATTGTGATTGTGTTGTCATGTTGATATTTTCTTGTTATTTCAATTTCAAACAATTAAATAAACAAATTATGTCCAGCTACGTTATAAAGATAGGAATACGCCAAGATATCATCAAGTAGCAATAGACTAACTCATATGTTAAATACATTGTATCAAGTTTTAATATTAAAAAGATACATTTAGCGGTTAATACATTGTAACAAGTTTTAATATTAAAAAGATACATTTAGCTGTTAATACATTGTAACAAGTTTTCATATTAAAAAGATACATTTAGCGGTTAATACATTGTAACAAGTTTTAATATTACAGAGACACATTTAGCGGTTAATACATTGTAACAAGTTTTCATATTAAAAAGATACATTTAGCGGTTAATACATTGTAACAAGTTTTAATATTAAAAAGACACATTTATCAATTAATACAGTGTAACAGATGTTGACGAGTCAGCAGATTTTCAGCATTCATCTGAGGATAAAATATCAATATGCAAATGTTCTTTTGAAACCATGGATCGATAAACAAACGGATTATGTCTAGGAAAATGGATATCAACACGTTTAACATACATGTACAGCTTGGTGCAGAACCATCACTGTTGATTTCGTTGACGGAAAAGATCGAGGTAAACAGCTAATGCATTCCGTCCTCTTTGCGGGCAAATGAACAACCCATCAGCTTTACTCAAGTTCAATCAACGATGTAGAAATTTATACAGAAACCTTTGAAAAAGGACAAAGTAAAATAAATCAAGATTTCTAGAAAGATACACAAGGCCTGCTTCTCGATGGCTGCCTGGCAGGGAATCCCGGACAAATCCACTTTTGGGTAGTTACTGTACATATCTATTTCCTCAAGCTTTGGTGTTTACATGTCGAAGTTGATTTAATAGTCTTGGGTCTGTTGCTCATCATCGCAATTTCATTTACCGAACAAATCAATACCATGACTAAATAGTATTTCAGGTCAAACGGTAAGAATCACCGGTGTCGTTGTTTTGTTATTGGACCTGTCTTACAATTAATCTTGGTTATTTGTCTAGAAGGTTACAAATCTGTCTATTGTCTGGCTCCAGTCTCAATAAATAATCAAATTTGCATTAAAACCACATTTGAATAAACATGGCTTACTGGCCAGTTGATGTGTACCGTCAGGTTACAGACCAGTTGATGTGTACCGTCAGGTTACAGACCAGTTGATGTGTACCGTTGGGTTACAGACCAGTTGATGTGTACCGTCGGGTTACAGACCAGTTATTTTGTGTACCGTGCGGTTACAGACCAGTTGATGTGTACCGTCAGGTTACAGACCAGTTGATGTGTACCGTCAGGTTACAGACCAGTTGATGTGTACCGTCGGGTTACAGACCAGTTATTTTGTGTACCGTACGGTTACAGACCAGTTGATGTGTACCGTCGGGTTACAGACCAGTTGATGTGTACCGTAGGGTTACAGACCAGTTGATGTGTACCGTTGGGTTACAGACCAGTTGATGTGTACCGTTGGGTTACAGACCAGTTGATGTGTACCGTTGGGTTACAGACCAGTTATTTTGTGTACCATCGGGTTACAGACCAGTTGATGTGTACCGTCAGGTTACAGACCAGTTGATGTGTACCGTCGGGTTACAGACCAGTTGATGTGTACTGTTTTTGTTACAGACCAGTTGATGTGTACCGTTGGGTTACAGACCAGTTGATGTGTACCGTAGGGTTACAGACCAGTTGATGTGTGCCGTCGGGTTACAGACCAGTTCATGTGTACCGTTGGGTTACAGACCAGTTGATGTGTACCGTAGGGTTACAGACCAGTTGATGTGTTCTGTTTTTGTTACAGACCAGTTGATGTGTACCGTTGGGTTAAAGACCAGTTGATGTGCACCGTCGGGTTACAGACCAGTTGATGTGTATGGCTGGAAAAATCCTTTGCCAGTCAGTAGCTATCATCGATGTCTGTCTATCGAGTCTAAAGCTGTATGTATATATGATGGGGTCGCTTCTTTCTTTAACTTCCTTTTAATAAGCCTGCTACAGCAATTTGATGTTTCCTCCTGGCTTGGATGGCTTATAAACAGGCTAAGTACATGACTACTGGTATATCCATTTCTTGTTGAAGGTCATGTCTCTGTAAGTGACACTCTGACAGGTTAGGGAAAATCCAGACACTAGATGTATAACGCTAACATAAACTAGAAAAAGGCCCTGCCACTGAAGGCGTAACTCAGACATTAGAAAAATATCATTCCAATACTTAAATTTTACAATGTGGGACTTATTGATTTCAGCAATAAATCACAGAAAGATACAAGAAAATAAATCTAGATGGATCACTAGTCAATACAGGTGTGACTCTGACATAAGAAAAGGCTGTGACACTGTAGATGTGACTCTGACATAAGAAAAGGCTGTGACACTGTAGGTGTGACTCTGACATAAGAAAAGGCTGTGACACTGTAGGTGTGACTCTGACATAAGAAAAGGCTATGACACTGTAGATGTGACTCTGACATAAGAAAATGCTGACACTGTAGGTGTGACTCTGACATAAGAAAAGGCTGTGACACTGTAGGTGTGACTCTGACATAAGAAAAGGCTGTGACACTGTAGGTGTGACTCTGACATAAGAGGCTGAACTGTAGGTGTGACTCTGACCTAAGAAAAGTCTGTGACATTGTAGGTGTGACTCTGACATAAGAAAAGGCTGTGACACTGAAGGTGTGACTCTAACATAAGAAAAGGCTGACACTGTAGGTGTGACTCTGACCTAAGAAAAGGTTGTGACACTGTAGGTGTGACTCTGACATAAGAAAAGTCTGTGTCACTACAGGTGTGACTCTGACATAAGAAAAGGCTGTGACACTGTAGGTGTGACTCTGACATAAGAAAAGGCTGACGCTGTAGGTGTGACTCTGACCTAAGAAAAGTCTGTGACATTGTAGGTGTGACTCAGACATAAGAAAAGGCTGTGACACTGTAGGTGTGACTCTGACATAAGAAAAGGCTGTGACACTGTAGGTGTAACTCTGACATAAGAAAAGGCTGACACTGTAGGTGTGACTCTGACCTAAGAAAAGTCTGTGACATTGTAGGTGTGACTCTGACATAAGAAAAGGCTGTGACACTGTAGGTGTGACTCTGACATAAGAAAAGGCTGTGACACTGTAGGTGTAACTCTGACATAAGAAAAGGCTGTGACACTGTAGGTGTGACTCTGACATAAGAAAAGTCTGTGTCACTACAGGTGTGACTCTGACATAAGAAAAGGCTGACACTGTAGGTGTGACTCTGACATAAGAAAAGGCTGTGACACTGTAGGTGTGACTCTGACATAAGAAAAGTCTGTGACACTGTAGGTGTGATTCTGACATAAGAAAAGGCTGACACCGTAGGTGTGACTCTGACATAAGAAAAGGCTGTGACACTGTAGGTGTGACTCTGACATAAGAAAAGTCTGTGACGCTGTAGGTGTGATTCTGACATGTGACACTGTATGTGTAATTCTGACATAAGGTCCTTCTACAGTAATTATATGTCTGACCCAAACAATGACCCTGATCAGCAAGCCAAAATATTGACCTTAGATTTGAACTTCTTTCTGATCCATTGAGAAGGCTAACTATTTATAAACATATCACAGTGCATCAGTATCATAATGACTAGAAGAAAAAAATATTGGTCCTCTGGATTCTGAGAAAAATCAACTTGATTGCAGTCCTCTAATAAAACAACAGAATAATTATCAACCTGAAAGTTTTATTCCACATTTTATTATACATTCATAAGATACATTCTAACAACAATACTCCCACTCACCATTCACACAGTAGTACATTGATTTGTGGAGTCACCTCACTATCTACAGTAGTAAACATCATCCACTTCCAATGTACATAATCATGTATAGTGTACAATTTATATGCCAGTGTGCTTTCACAAAAATATGTTTGCATCAACATACAATGTACCAACAAATTTTGTTACAAAAAGTACTGGTAAACTGTTACATACAATGTATCAGTAAACACTGACATACAATGTATCAGTAAACACTGACATACAATGTATCAGTAAACACTGACATACAATGTATCAGTAAACACTGACGTACAATGTATCAGTAAACACTGACGTACAATGTATCAGTAAACACTGACGTACAATGTATCAGTAAACACTGACGTACTATGTATCAGTAAACACTGACGTACAATGTATCAGTAAACACTGACATACAATGTATCAGTAAACACTGACATACAATGTATCAGTAAACTGTTACATACAATGTATCAGTAAACACTGACATACAATGTATCAGTAAACTGTTACATACAATGTATCAGTAAACACTGACATACAATGTATCAGTAAACACTGACATACAATGTATCAGTAAACACTGACATACAATGTATCAGTAAACACTGACATACAATGTATCAGTAAACTGTTACATACAATGTATCAGTAAACACTGACATACAATGTATCAGTAAACATTGACACACAGTAGACATTGATATACAATATATCTGTAAACACAGACAAACAATGTATCAGTAAACACTGACATACAATGTATCATTAAAACTGACATACAATGTATCAGTAAACTGTTACATACAATGTATCAGTAAACACTGACATACAATGTAACAGTAATCTGTTACATACAATGTATCAGTAAACACTGACATACAGTAAACACTGACATACAATGTATCAGTAAACACTGACATACAATGTAACAGTAAACATTGACATACAATGTATCAGTAAACAATGACATATTAAGTATCAGACTGTGTTGACATACAGAGTTTAAGTTACCAATGATACATAATAAATGTATTGGTAAAAGTTGGATACTTGAGATACCAGTAGACTTGATTTCACAATTTGTGATGCCTGCAAAACAGATATAAATGTATTCTACATTTCCTAGATTGGTGAAATGATTTGTTGTGTGTAATTCATTCTGTCAAATATTCAAACTTCATCTTCGTTCAGTAACATGTTTGGAATTCCAGAACTGATTGGGAACTGACGGCCAGATTCTGGACATACTAGATTTCCTTCAATCACTTCAACCTGAAAAAGGAAGGACAAAAATATTTAAAAATTTAAAATATCTAGTAAAATGTATGGTAATAGTACAATGTCTGGCTGTAGGAAAAATGCTTTGTCTTACAGAAGGACAAAATCACAACATTTGGCTTTAGGACAAAATCACAGTGTGTTGGGACAAAATCATAATAGATGCCAAAAGCACAATATCACATTGTCTTAAAGAAGAACAAAATCAAAACAACTGGCCTTCAGATAAAATTATGACATCTAACAAAATAACAAAATTAGAATCTCTGGCAGTAGGTCGAACCACAATATCTTACAGAAGATCAAAATCACAATATGTGACTGTAGGACAAAAAAAAATCTGAGTTAAGAATGAAATTACTATGCCCGAATGTAGATTGTGGTTATAATGTCCTACTTGGATAAATCCCAATGTCTGACTGTAGAATAAATGTACATTGTCTGACCGTAAGACATTATAATGTGTGAATATAGGTTAAAATTGCAGTGGTTGATAGGCTGACAAAAAAAAAAATGTCTGACAGAAGAATAAAAGTAATAACAACATCAAATTCATTGAAGGACAAAATTTCAAGCTACAGAAGGGCAAAATTAAAATGTTCAAAAATGTAGGGCAAAATTACAGTGTACAAAACTGTAGGGCAAAATGAAAATGTTCAAAATTGTAGGGCAAAATTACAGTGTACAAAACTGTAGGGCAAAATTAAAATGTTCAAAAATGTAGGGCAAAATTACAGTGTACAAAACTGTAGGGCAAAATTAAAATGTTCAAAAATGTAGGGCAAAATTACAGTGTAAAAAACTGTAGGGCAAAATTACAGTGTACAAAACTGTAGGGCAAAATTACAGTGTTACAAAACTGTAGGGCAAAATTAAGATGTTCAAAAATGTAGGGCAAAATTACAGTGTACAAAACTGTAGGTCAAAATTAAAATGTTAAAAAATGTAGGGCAAAATTACAGTGTACAAAACTGTAGGGCAAAATTAAAATGTTCAAAAATGTAGGGCAAAATTACAGTGTACAAAACTGTAGGGCAAGGTTACAATGTACAAAACTGTAGGGCATAATTACGACGTCCAAAACTGTAGGGCAAAATTACAATGTACAAAATTGTAGGGCAAAATTGAAATGTTCAAAAAGGTAGGGTATAAAATACAATATAAAATATGTGAAATCTGTTGACAGTCAGCTCATATGATTTGGAAACCTGTACATGATTCTTATAAAGTCAGGGATCTATACCTGCATCATGACATGGTGCACTTTTTTAAGTAACTCCTCATCCTCTTCGTAATTCTCTTTGAGTGTCTCTGGCAAGCCCTCTCCATGGCCGACCTGCAAACAGATTATGCTCAGTCAACAACTTTCAAAATTTTTGGTTCATAGCTTAATCACAGGCACACAGCTATACAGTTTAGCTCGCTGAAGAAAAAAGTATGTGCATATATCTCTTATATATTCCTGCATACTATTTTCTATCAGCAAACTAACTGCCTAGTTTTATAAATATACACAAACTAAGTTGTATTTAATGTGTTTGTTTATAATAAGCCCACCCATACACCATCCACCCCTTTACATTTATATGTCAACTGCCTTAGGCTGTTGCAGGATAAATAGGGTAGTCAGTCTATAGACTTGTGATCAACTTCATCTTATCTCTGGTGGCAGGTACTGTTCGACATACACTAACTTACATCTATATATTTAAATGATCTTCTTTTAAAAACTGACTGAAATATTTGGTTGTAAACATGTTCATATGAGGTTATCAGTACGGAGAATTGTGCCATGATCAATATTAAAATGATAACCAGAATTTATCAATTATTTGTAATACTTTTACATGGAACCAATCTGTAGGTACAGACCTACACCTAATATAGATGTAGGACATATAAATATACATGTACTCACTGACTGTGCAGCTTGATGAAGGGCTGGCCAATCCATTTTCGGTAACATCCTTGTGATAAATTCTGGGTTGAAGTCAACTGTTTTTATCTCAATTTGACTGGCCTGTTGAGAATAAAACCATAATCAGAAATATTTACATGATTTGGGGGTTTTGTACTTAATTCTTACATCATGCACATGTTACATGAATTGCACACGTGACATCTTTTCTAATTAACTAGTAGTGCGATCAAAATGCATTTGTTCCTAACAATGAAGCAGAGCAATTTCGAAAGAAATATCACTGGAATACATTTAAAAAACTTCACTCGAGGCATCTGTTTATAACGTAAAAGTCAGTTGAACGTTCCAATACAGAAATACAGTGGGTAAATTAAAGACGTATTTAATTTAGTAATCGCACGTCCCCGTTGAAATGAACATTATGAGTATATTTTACTTACTACAATTTTCAATGGGTATCCATTCGTTGTGTTCTTTATTATGTTGGAAGTCAGCATATTATGAGTGATAAGCTTCATCTTGCTGTTTCTCACTTTACCATGTGGTGATGTAAACAGGAAGTACAATAGAAATTTAAGGATGACAGAAACAAGTGGAAAGCAATCCTATAATAAGCATATATATTTCATTAGGTTACAGTCCTATTAAAATGTGTAATTATAAACAATACAGTAAATAGATCATTAGGTAATTTTTCAGTTTAATCATCAAAAATATATTTTGACATCACGTAGGTGCTTTTCGTTTTAATCAAGGATTTTAATTGTCTGTCATAAAGTTATATCAACCAAGATGGCTGCGCCCTAAACTTGAAAGCCACGCACATGTGTATCATTGCAACATCAATCAGTTAAATATTATCCAAGAAAAAGAAACTATTTGAATCGCAATATTTTCCCAATTTGATTTGAAAATGTCCAGGAAAAAATCACATGTGTTCACTACAGATTTGGACTTTTGTCCCGACTGTGGATCTGTTCTGCCATTACCGACGTATGAACAATTCGTCGCATGCAAATCGTGTTCTTTCAAAATTGATGTTTATGGCAAGTATTTTAATTACAGATATACCCAGAAAATATTTTTGTGAGTTTAACTTGTTCGCGACCAGGACAAACGTAAGATACTGGATAGCCTGAACCTATTGGACTAATTGAACGTATATATATAAGTCTGGAAAGTGAGGGGTCCCAGGTTAAATGCCACAATTTTAATGGTGACACTGAAAGGAATGCATACCTTTATTACACTGATGCCGATGTAGGATATGAGGAGATATTGACAACACTATTATATTGAATTTGTTGTTGGTTTCATAATACTGTTGTTGTTAATCCATGAAAGGTTGAGGACAACTGCTCTCCTGAAATGGGAGTATGTTGTCCTGGTAAATATTAATCACAATATATCACTCAGGCAGAGAGAACTTCTCTAACAATGAGTTTGATTGGTTAAGACAAAGTCTAGAATGTCAGAGATCATGCGATTGATCCTTATTGGCATATTTGAATAAACAATTATCTTTAGATCTGTTCCTGAGGATTCTGTATAACAAAATGAATGGGAACTGCCACAGATATCAGTGCAAATGTTTGATTTACAAATGGTCTTTTATATTTTCAAACGGTGTTCCCACAATAAAGGTTTTCAGCAGTATTTGATACTTGTATTATATGATGTTACACACTGTCCTCTATCTGTTACATCCTCCCTAAGTTTTATGGTCTAGATGGCAAATTCTATATTCAATCCACATTTTTTTGTTTGATATTAAGCCATTCAGAAATTAAAGAGACTTCAAAAAGGGGGAAGGCGTCAACATCAGGTGTAAATAGGTGGGTCTTAAGTGGGGTACTTCACAATGAGTATGGAATCCTAAAGGTATACAGGACCATTAAACAAAAGGTGTATAGTATTTTAATCAATAAGTGCTACAAACTTTTGAAGAAACATGAAATGCATGAAGATTAAGGCACTTACCTCCCCTTGAGAATTGTTGATTGTCATAGTAAACAATCAAAAGTTCTCTATAGCAATTTTGTCCAGATGAAGCCTCTGTGATAGAGGCAAAACTATTAGACAGATAAAACAATCACCTTAGGTAACGCATGAGTATGTTGTGATTAATTTCCTCTTCTCATGAGAATTAGGAACTTCAGTGTATTTCTTTGTCACTTGAAGTCATGGAGATTGTCAGCACTTCCTTAATTATGTGTATATAATCACATATGTTAATTTTTTTACCCTTAAGAATTTGATGCTGTGAAAACCTGTTCACGAATTGTATTCAACACATCGGATAAAGCAGCTTTAAAAGCTCAGGAGGAGACTGGTGAGCTAACAGGGCCAACAGTAAGTACCTTATATCATGCTAAAAACACACTAAATCCCTACTATAATCTTACTCATATGGGGGTTTTATTCGGACAAATAACAAACAAATGCTGGTTCCTTGTCCAGTAATACATATACCCTGGGCTTATTGCCCTATAATAAGTCAACCCTGACTTTGATGAGAAGTTTGGTTCTGTACACTGGGCTTATTGCCCTATAATAAGTCAACCCTGACTTTGATGAGAAGTTTGGTACTGTACACTGGGCTTATTGCCCTATAATAAGTCAACCCTGACTTTGATGAAAGGTTACATGTTTTATTCTGGGCTTATTGCAAGATAATTACACTTATCTTTTTTTGATCCACTCAAAAACTTGCTGCATCAAAGTACATACATGTAATTAGAGAATTTTGATCAGAATTAGCTTTTGTAAAATAAGTGCACTGTTATGTGAAGAAAATACCGAATATATTTGTGTAGCAAGATTAACAGACAGGTGATCAAACTTCAACTGTTTGGTTATGTATAGTTATTTCAATTAGGTACAGTTTATCTGTGAAAATTGCCATACATGCTTAAGATTCCACAATTATCCAACAGGTTGACAGAAAATGTCCTAAATGTGGGCATGAAGGAATGGTGTATACCACAAGACAAACACGATCTGCTGATGAAGGACAGACAGTCTTCTTTTCCTGTCCTGATTGCAGGTATGTTTATTCGATATTTATACATATATACGTATAATTAATCTGATGATAATGGACGTTTCTTTCTGTTTTACTCTCTGTATCATCATCTTATCCATCAATATTTACACTTGATTCATTTTTTCTACAGATTCCAGGAGATTGAATATTCCTGAGTTTGAAGGATTGCAGTTGGTATCGGCAGTGTGTAATCGTCATCTGTCCATCGTTGTCCCATACATGTATTTCGGACAACGGTCACCCAAAGTATACACGCGGAACAGTATACAGAACTTGTTATACCCAAGTTTTAAATTCACATTAGAGACATGTCATTGTTCAATTAACTATTTAGAAATTGTTAATTTTTTAAGATATTTTATTAATAAATGGACATTGTGTAGCAATCTGTCATTTCTGTTTTAATGAAAAAGATGGTAAGAAGAGGAAACATCTTAAAGATACAATATTAAAATTGTAACTGGTATTGGAATGTGATACAAGTGGAAATGGTATATTTAGTGTGATAGAATAAGTGTATAAGTTGAAATAATTAATGATACAGATAACTACCCCCCCCCCCCCCCCCCCCATTAATAATCCCAGGGTATATGTATTACTGGACAAGGAACCAGCATTTGTTTGTTATTTGTCCGAATAAAACCCCCATATGAGTAAGATTATAGTAGGGATTTAGTGTGTTTTTAGCATGATATAAGGTACTTACTGTTGGCCCTGTTAGCTCACCAGTCTCCTCCTGAGCTTTTAAAGCTGCTTTATCCGATGTGTTGAATACAATTCGTGAACAGGTTTTCACAGCATCAAATTCTTAAGGGTAAAAAAATTAACATATGTGATTATATACACATAATTAAGGAAGTGCTGACAATCTCCATGACTTCAAGTGACAAAGAAATACACTGAAGTTCCTAATTCTCATGAGAAGAGGAAATTAATCACAACATACTCATGCGTTACCTAAGGTGATTGTTTTATCTGTCTAATAGTTTTGCCTCTATCACAGAGGCTTCATCTGGACAAAATTGCTATAGAGAACTTTTGATTGTTTACTATGACAATCAACAATTCTCAAGGGGAGGTAAGTGCCTTAATCTTCATGCATTTCATGTTTCTTCAAAAGTTTGTAGCACTTATTGATTAAAATACTATACACCTTTTGTTTAATGGTCCTGTATACCTTTAGGATTCCATACTCATTGTGAAGTACCCCACTTAAGACCCACCTATTTACACCTGATGTTGACGCCTTCCCCCTTTTTGAAGTCTCTTTAATTTCTGAATGGCTTAATATCAAACAAAAAAATGTGGATTGAATATAGAATTTGCCATCTAGACCATAAAACTTAGGGAGGATGTAACAGATAGAGGACAGTGTGTAACATCATATAATACAAGTATCAAATACTGCTGAAAACCTTTATTGTGGGAACACCGTTTGAAAATATAAAAGACCATTTGTAAATCAAACATTTGCACTGATATCTGTGGCAGTTCCCATTCATTTTGTTATACAGAATCCTCAGGAACAGATCTAAAGATAATTGTTTATTCAAATATGCCAATAAGGATCAATCGCATGATCTCTGACATTCTAGACTTTGTCTTAACCAATCAAACTCATTGTTAGAGAAGTTCTCTCTGCCTGAGTGATATATTGTGATTAATATTTACCAGGACAACATACTCCCATTTCAGGAGAGCAGTTGTCCTCAACCTTTCATGGATTAACAACAACAGTATTATGAAACCAACAACAAATTCAATATAATAGTGTTGTCAATATCTCCTCATATCCTACATCGGCATCAGTGTAATAAAGGTATGCATTCCTTTCAGTGTCACCATTAAAATTGTGGCATTTAACCTGGGACCCCTCACTTTCCAGACTTATATATATACGTTCAATTAGTCCAATAGGTTCAGGCTATCCAGTATCTTACGTTTGTCCTGGTCGCGAACAAGTTAAACTCACAAAAATATTTTCTGGGTATATCTGTAATTAAAATACTTGCCATAAACATCAATTTTGAAAGAACACGATTTGCATGCGACGAATTGTTCATACGTCGGTAATGGCAGAACAGATCCACAGTCGGGACAAAAGTCCAAATCTGTAGTGAACACATGTGATTTTTTCCTGGACATTTTCAAATCAAATTGGGAAAATATTGCGATTCAAATAGTTTCTTTTTCTTGGATAATATTTAACTGATTGATGTTGCAATGATACACATGTGCGTGGCTTTCAAGTTTAGGGCGCAGCCATCTTGGTTGATATAACTTTATGACAGACAATTAAAATCCTTGATTAAAACGAAAAGCACCTACGTGATGTCAAAATATATTTTTGATGATTAAACTGAAAAATTACCTAATGATCTATTTACTGTATTGTTTATAATTACACATTTTAATAGGACTGTAACCTAATGAAATATATATGCTTATTATAGGATTGCTTTCCACTTGTTTCTGTCATCCTTAAATTTCTATTGTACTTCCTGTTTACATCACCACATGGTAAAGTGAGAAACAGCAAGATGAAGCTTATCACTCATAATATGCTGACTTCCAACATAATAAAGAACACAACGAATGGATACCCATTGAAAATTGTAGTAAGTAAAATATACTCATAATGTTCATTTCAACGGGGACGTGCGATTACTAAATTAAATACGTCTTTAATTTACCCACTGTATTTCTGTATTGGAACGTTCAACTGACTTTTACGTTATAAACAGATGCCTCGAGTGAAGTTTTTTAAATGTATTCCAGTGATATTTCTTTCGAAATTGCTCTGCTTCATTGTTAGGAACAAATGCATTTTGATCGCACTACTAGTTAATTAGAAAAGATGTCACGTGTGCAATTCATGTAACATGTGCATGATGTAAGAATTAAGTACAAAACCCCCAAATCATGTAAATATTTCTGATTATGGTTTTATTCTCAACAGGCCAGTCAAATTGAGATAAAAACAGTTGACTTCAACCCAGAATTTATCACAAGGATGTTACCGAAAATGGATTGGCCAGCCCTTCATCAAGCTGCACAGTCAGTGAGTACATGTATATTTATATGTCCTACATCTATATTAGGTGTAGGTCTGTACCTACAGATTGGTTCCATGTAAAAGTATTACAAATAATTGATAAATTCTGGTTATCATTTTAATATTGATCATGGCACAATTCTCCGTACTGATAACCTCATATGAACATGTTTACAACCAAATATTTCAGTCAGTTTTTAAAAGAAGATCATTTAAATATATAGATGTAAGTTAGTGTATGTCGAACAGTACCTGCCACCAGAGATAAGATGAAGTTGATCACAAGTCTATAGACTGACTACCCTATTTATCCTGCAACAGCCTAAGGCAGTTGACATATAAATGTAAAGGGGTGGATGGTGTATGGGTGGGCTTATTATAAACAAACACATTAAATACAACTTAGTTTGTGTATATTTATAAAACTAGGCAGTTAGTTTGCTGATAGAAAATAGTATGCAGGAATATATAAGAGATATATGCACATACTTTTTTCTTCAGCGAGCTAAACTGTATAGCTGTGTGCCTGTGATTAAGCTATGAACCAAAAATTTTGAAAGTTGTTGACTGAGCATAATCTGTTTGCAGGTCGGCCATGGAGAGGGCTTGCCAGAGACACTCAAAGAGAATTACGAAGAGGATGAGGAGTTACTTAAAAAAGTGCACCATGTCATGATGCAGGTATAGATCCCTGACTTTATAAGAATCATGTACAGGTTTCCAAATCATATGAGCTGACTGTCAACAGATTTCAAATCCTTTCCATATTTTATATTGTATTTTTACCCTACCTTTTTGAACATTTCAATTTTGCCCTACAATTTTGTACATTGTAATTTTGCCCTACAGTTTTGGACGTCGTAATTATGCCCTACAGTTTTGTACATTGTAACCTTGCCCTACAGTTTTGTACACTGTAATTTTGCCCTACATTTTTGAACATTTTAATTTTGCCCTACAGTTTTGTACACTGTAATTTTGCCCTACATTTTTTAACATTTTAATTTTGACCTACAGTTTTGTACACTGTAATTTTGCCCTACATTTTTGAACATCTTAATTTTGCCCTACAGTTTTGTAACACTGTAATTTTGCCCTACAGTTTTGTACACTGTAATTTTGCCCTACAGTTTTGTACACTGTAATTTTGCCCTACATTTTTGAACATTTTAATTTTGCCCTACAGTTTTGTACACTGTAATTTTGCCCTACATTTTTGAACATTTTAATTTTGCCCTACAGTTTTGTACACTGTAATTTTGCCCTATAGTTTTGTACACTGTAATTTTGCCCTACAATTTTGAACATTTTCATTTTGCCCTACAGTTTTGTACACTGTAATTTTGCCCTACATTTTTGAACATTTTAATTTTGCCCTTCTGTAGCTTGAAATTTTGTCCTTCAATGAATTTGATGTTGTTATTACTTTTATTCTTCTGTCAGACATTTTTTTTTTTGTCAGCCTATCAACCACTGCAATTTTAACCTATATTCACACATTATAATGTCTTACGGTCAGACAATGTACATTTATTCTACAGTCAGACATTGGGATTTATCCAAGTAGGACATTATAACCACTATCTACATTTGGGCATAGTAATTTCATTCTTAACTCAGATTTTTTTTTGTCCTACAGTCACATATTGTGATTTTGATCTTCTGTAAGATATTGTGGTTCGACCTACTGCCAGAGATTCTAATTTTGTTATTTTGTTAGATGTCATAATTTTATCTGAAGGCCAGTTGTTTTGATTTTGTTCTTCTTTAAGACAATGTGATATTGTGCTTTTGGCATCTATTATGATTTTGTCCCAACACACTGTGATTTTGTCCTAAAGCCAAATGTTGTGATTTTGTCCTTCTGTAAGACAAAGCATTTTTCCTACAGCCAGACATTGTACTATTACCATACATTTTACTAGATATTTTAAATTTTTAAATATTTTTGTCCTTCCTTTTTCAGGTTGAAGTGATTGAAGGAAATCTAGTATGTCCAGAATCTGGCCGTCAGTTCCCAATCAGTTCTGGAATTCCAAACATGTTACTGAACGAAGATGAAGTTTGAATATTTGACAGAATGAATTACACACAACAAATCATTTCACCAATCTAGGAAATGTAGAATACATTTATATCTGTTTTGCAGGCATCACAAATTGTAAAGAAATTTGTTAAAAGAAAACAAACAAAAACATCAGTTCATATTTCAACTTATTCTTGAAATTGCTGCTTGTAAGTTGATAAAGAAAATCATGTTAAGCTGATAATCATTTTCACCCGATATTTATCTTTGATTTCATTCAACAAACATCATCTATCTTTGAGTTCATATTGTCTATGATCTATGTGTGGTATTTAGGTCATCTGACGTGAAGCTATTGTGTGCTATGCATAAATTTTTCACATTATGAAATTCTTCTCAAGTTAATGTTCCACCTGTTGCATTCAGTCAAACTTGCCTGAAATTTTCTTTGTTTTTCGAGTCAGTTGGACTTACATTTAAAAATTTATCTCAAATTCCACTGGCACTGTTGAACTGAAAATTGGTGGGATTGTTAAGAAAAGGAAGCCAACACAGTATTTTTTAGCCTGCTGTAAACTTTCACATGTGGCAGCCATTTTGTAACATGATTGCACTGTTATGGTTTTCCTGAACGATATCTACTGTAAACTTCTTTTTTTCTCAAGTTCCATTGGTGAAATTCAGCTAAAACTTGCCTAAAATGACCGTGAGATGATTCTGACCAAGTGTTTTATTTTTTTAATTTGTCCAAAATCCAACGCTGTCACGACTGCCCTCTCGTAAAAAAAAAAACACATTCTTTATCTCATCTCCAGTACAACTGATGCCATTGAGCTGAAATTAAATAGTGACACATTGTTTTTGTTGTCTTAACTGCTAAAATGTTTAGATTGTTTTAATAATCTAATTGCTTACAATACCACAACTGCTATTCTATCATTTAGAGGCCATTACAGGCAGATGACTGTTAAGGCCCAATGGGCCTCTTCTTGCTTGAAAATATCTGTATCCAAGATATTTACTGAAATGGTATTTATCATAACATCCATTGTATGCTACAGTTGTAACCAGGAACATTTAAATTACTGTAAAATAGAACAGGTTGTCCAGTGAATAAATCTGTCGGTCAGAGTTACAACATGTACAAAAATGTACATTAAATCAATCCCTTCATTGACCATCTCATCTTTCTACTGTTATTAACAGGACTCATTGATTGCTTATGAGATGTTGTGTAATCAGTATCAATGATGACAAAAAATGAGTATCATTGATGAAAGGTTACATGTTTTATTCTGGGCTTATTGCAAGATAATTACACTTATCTTTTTTTGATCCACTCAAAAACTTGCTGCATCAAAGTACATACATGTAATTAGAGAATTTTGATCAGAATTAGCTTTTGTAAAATAAGTGCACTGTTATGTGAAGAAAATACCGAATATATTTGTGTAGCAAGATTAACAGACAGGTGATCAAACTTCAACTGTTTGGTTATGTATAGTTATTTCAATTAGGTACAGTTTATCTGTGAAAATTGCCATACATGCTTAAGATTCCACAATTATCCAACAGGTTGACAGAAAATGTCCTAAATGTGGGCATGAAGGAATGGTGTATACCACAAGACAAACACGATCTGCTGATGAAGGACAGACAGTCTTCTTTTCCTGTCCTGATTGCAGGTATGTTTATTCGATATTTATACATATATACGTATAATTAATCTGATGATAATGGACGTTTCTTTCTGTTTTACTCTCTGTATCATCATCTTATCCATCAATATTTACACTTGATTCATTTTTTCTACAGATTCCAGGAGATTGAATATTCCTGAGTTTGAAGGATTGCAGTTGGTATCGGCAGTGTGTAATCGTCATCTGTCCATCGTTGTCCCATACATGTATTTCGGACAACGGTCACCCAAAGTATACACGCGGAACAGTATACAGAACTTGTTATACCCAAGTTTTAAATTCACATTAGAGACATGTCATTGTTCAATTAACTATTTAGAAATTGTTAATTTTTTAAGATATTTTATTAATAAATGGACATTGTGTAGCAATCTGTCATTTCTGTTTTAATGAAAAAGATGGTAAGAAGAGGAAACATCTTAAAGATACAATATTAAAATTGTAACTGGTATTGGAATGTGATACAAGTGGAAATGGTATATTTAGTGTGATAGAATAAGTGTATAAGTTGAAATAATTAATGATACAGATAACTACCCCCCCCCCCCCATTAATAATGGATTGAATGGAAATTCCTAATATATATGAGACAGACATTCTTCTTCTCCTGTCCTGATTGCAGGTGTATATAATATAGGACAGACATTCTTTTCCTGTCCTAATTGCAGGTGTATATATTATAGGACAGACATTCTTTTCATGTCCTTATTGCAGGTGTATATATTATATAAGCCAACCTTCTTTTCCTGTCCTGATTGCAGTTGTATATATTATAGGACAGCCAACCTCCTTTTCCTGTCCTGATTGCTGGTGTATATATTCAATATACATATATAATTAAGCTGATGATAACGGACGGTCATTTTTCTTTTCCTCGCTGTAGCTTCATCCTGTCCATCAATGTTTACTCTTTGTTCATTTTGTCTTCAGATTTATTGTTCTGTAATAAGTTTACTGCTGACTTTGATGAGAAATCAGGGGTTGAACCCTGGACTTATTGTTCTGTAATAAGCCTACTGACTTTGACAAGAAATTACTTACTTACTATTTTATATATATTTGTAGATATATATATATATGATATATGTTACATGAATAAAAATTAACAAACAACTTACAGAAGATTTTTTTGAAATTTTATTTTCTGTTAGTTTGTAAATCAACATATTAACAATACAGATTTACACACTTTGTGTAGTTTCATTACTTATCTGTACATTTTCTGTACTTTGTTAAAAAAAAACACAATTTATTCTCTGGTGTGATGCTGTTTACTATGATAACATGACACAAATTTTTCTGTGACCCTTAAAAAGAAAAAAAGTATTTACTCCAGAAACAACAAAAACTATCGAAAGAAACTTTGTGTGTTAAGTCATACCATATGTAGATATGAAATGAATATTTATACTTGGAGGCAATAAATGTTTTGAATGATATATTTTCACTGATGGCTCACAACCATTCTCTCAGATACTAACAGGTTATCTTAAAACTAACATAACATGATAACTAAATATACTGTAAATGCAGGTCTGTATTACAAACTTTGGCAAGTACCAAAATAGTCATTTAAATTAATGATTTTTAACAGGAAACATCAACAGAACATAATGATTCAGATAGATATGATTCCAGACTCCAAACTAAATGTATACACAAGTGATTACTCTACAATTTCACTAACTCTGTGAACCAAATTTACATCATCAGCTGGTGAGTTAGTGCTGGGAGGACACTATCAAGTGAGGACAGATGAAGAAAAATGACATCTTGTTCACCTCTCTACCATTCGTGTTTGGGAGTATTACAATCACAATGAGTTATAACACAAAGACAGCCAAATTTGTGCTTGAGAAATATTTATATGTTACAAATAATCAAACAGGTGTAGAGGTATTATTTGAGATTCAGCCCATTTTTAAAATAACTTTAAATGTATATTCAATTTTTATTGGTTAAAAAGGAACAAGGACGGTAACTGTACTGCAGATTTACTGTTGTGTCTTCTACACGTGTTCGAATAGAGAGAAGTGACAAAAGGAACAAGGCAAAGAGATCTGTTAGAAGTATTCAGATCCCTGAAGCTAAACCCAAAGTAAACATGATAATACTATTTGACTAGAAAGCTTAATTCTAAACACTACTGTGTTTAACAAAATCAGATATTAGAAAAGAAATGTACTTATATTATATATAATTATACATACAAAATGTAGGTTCTGATTTTTAAAAAATTGTCTGATGACAGATATTAGAGCCGAAGGCAAGTTTCTTATCAATTTCTAAGCGTAAAACATCCACATTTTTTTTCATGTGCAAGTAAAATAAAACACAGTTTTGTGAAAAAATATGAAACATTAATTCAATATCAGCTGGAGTAAATAAAGGTTGCTTGATGCACAGGTACCAAAATCTAGACTATATATTTTGTGGTTTGATGTGGTGATTTTTCTCTGTACAATTTTAACATAAACAGACACTTATGTACAAGTCCATTCTAACTGCTATTAACAGTGACTGTGATAGAAACAGGAAAAAACAGAAAATAAAAGAAAACATTCAGTTATACCTACACCTTCTGTATCATTATAGTATCTATAAATATGTGATGGACTGAAACAGTTTTACAAGAAAAGTACAAAATGAACTTAAATTTTATGAATACAATAAAAGCTGATTTGGAGTTAAACATATTAATCGGTATACTTGACGTTTGAATTTTACTTAACGATACAGAAAAATACCATAATTAAAAACTAATTACAATAAACCTACAAGAAGAAAATAAAATACAATGATAACATAAATACATTATACGTTTCTAAAAATAAACTTAACTAGACAACCATGTTGATTAAGAATTAAAACTTGTTGTTTAAGCAACCTATAATTTACTGAAGTTTCAGGTACGTTGGGAGAACCCAACTTCATGACGGATTTGAATAATGTCCGATGCTAATACAACAATCCTTTCATTAAAAAACAAGCATTCAAACATTTGCTACACAAACATCAGAGACCATTTTTATTAAATATATGAAAAAGAAACAAGAAGCACAAACACCACATGTAAAAACAACACAAATCAGCACTTAACAGCACAACACTATGTATTTTATATTCCTACTTGTTTTCTGACATACTTTTTACCTAATTTATATTTTAATTCATTTATATTTTGATATGGTGATTTACATATTAAAATTAATCTATTAATTTATATACCTTATAAATCCTGTAACTATTGGTTACAAACTGATACTAACAGGGTAACTGGTTCATTTATATCCTGGTAAGGATTTGAATGATGATAAGACACCAGATTCCAACCCAGATGGTTGTGATAAAGGTAACCAGCCAGACAGAAAAATTACCACTCACTGTCTGAAGTAATGAACTAACCTCCATTATTATCTGCAATAATCA